CCAGGACGGGTCATCCTCATCGGTACCACCTTCATCTGACTGAAGCGAGCGTCTTCTGAAAGGCTCTCCTCTACCGGCTTCGGGACAAACACAAACATTACCGTTAACCCTCGGACCGGATCTACCACGGTAAAACATTTGGACTTATTGAGCTTTCCACCTTGTGCATCTGATGCAAAGTCTCCTGGCTGTATCCCGCAGATGTTTGCTGAGGAAAGGAGTGTCCCGTGGAAGGGGCCGGTCCGGGACTGGGGCCCATCATGCTGTGTGAGGATCCAGGGGACAGTCCTGAACCCAGAACGGCTCCGGGAGACGGGCCCGGGCCCGGCGAAGGCCCCGCACAGGGAGTCCCACCCAACGGGGGCTCTGGGGTGGACATGCCTCAGACTCACCCTGACAAAACCAAAACATTCGTCAAATGTGATTTCACTAGAATTCATTTCCACAAAACTACAGTTCCAGAAAATGTGAAGCGGTGCTTGCAGTGGCAAAACTCGCCAGTCGGTTGCTAGCGTGTGGTACATGATTACATACAAGACGATGTCTGTACGATGTTCTGGTGCTGAGATCTGGCTTATAATGTGTTTAGGTCAGGGTTCCTCAAACTCCTGGAGGGCCACTGTCCTGAGTTTAGCTCCAACCCACGACCGAGTTTGAGGAACACTGGTTTTGGTGGTTGCTAGGGTATTCTGGGTGATTGCTATGGTATTGCTAGGGTGTTTTGGGTGGTTGCTATGGCATTCTCTGTGGTTGCTAGGGCATTGCTAGGTTATTCTGGGTGGTTGCTAGGGTGTTGCTAGGGTGTTCTGGGTGGTTGCTAGGGCATTGCTAGGTTATTCTGGGTGGTTGGTAGGGTGTTCTGGGTGGTTGCTATGGTATTCTCAGTGGTTGCTAGGTTATTCTGGGTGGTTGCTAGGGTGTTCTGGGTGGTTGCTATGGTATTCTCTGTGGTTTCTAGGGCGTTGCTAGGTTATTCTGGGTGGTTGCTAGGGTGTTCTGGGTTGTTGCTATGGTATTATCGGTGGTTTCTAGGGCGTTGCTAGGTTATTCTGGGTGGTTGCTAGGGTGTTCTGGGTTGTTGCTATGGTATTATCGGTGGTTGCTATGGCGTTGCTAGGTTATTCTGGGTGGTTGCTAGGGTGTTCTGGGTTGTTGCTATGGTATTATCGGTGGTTGCTATGGCGTTGCTAGGTTATTCTAGGTGGTTGCTAGGGTGTTCTGGGTTGTTGCTATGGTATTATCGGTGGTTGCTATGGCGTTGCTAGGTTATTCTGGTTGGTTGCTAGGGTGTTCTGGGTGGTTCCTATGGTATTCTCGGTGGTTGGTAGGGTGTTGCTAGGTTATTCTGGGTGGTACGAATAAATAATGGCAGAATTTAATTTTTTTGGGTGAACTGTCCCTTTAAAGTCCCCCTGTGATGAAAATCCAGCTCTTAAATGTTGTTTATGTGTCTATGTGGTGTTTTTAATACGCTTTAACACACACCATGTGTAAGTTCATAAGTGGACAGCATTGCTGAGTATTTCCTCCTTAAAACTGCAGTGAACCAAAGACAGTCTCAAAAACACGCTTTGAAATCGCTGGTGTTTCTGACGTCAAACGACCTTGTAATGTATGATCGTCAACCAGTGGATCTCTGAGTGAGTGAGGGAGTGGAGACGGGGCCGCATATTCTAAATGAGGCAAAAGTTGCATTAAAGATATATTTTAAGACATGAAGAAAATTAGTTTTCACTTAAAAAACATCAAAGATGAGTTTTAAGGGATTAAATGATTGACTACAGGGGGACTTTAAGAGACATTTTCTTAGTATTATGGCTTCCAGAATCTGATTTTGTCCTTCTGGTATCCATGATGCTTCAAAACATGATCTAAAGACATTCTAAATCTAAGTGAATTACAGACAGTAACCCTGTTGGAAAAGCAACTAAAACCAGACTAGCCATGTCCTAAACACAATTATAATGTTCTCATTGTAATTTTATGTAGTCGATATGACAGACTTGTGCTGTACATGTTGCACTGAACTGTATTTTCCTTTTTGAAGTGATTTTAATCTTTTTTCAAGCAATTGAAAACCATCATAGTGAAACTGAAGTGTCACAGCTGAAAGAAAATAAAATAATCCATTATTTATCGGCCAAATTTTCTTATCAGGCCGATATCAATAACATCAAAAATGAACATATATCAGTACAGTGGCGAAAAATCACACTATAGATAATACCAGTTTCTGCACTTTCAACCAATGAATTTCCATATAATTTTATACAGATTGTCCACACAAAGAATAATTTATATACAATATTAAAGTTGATTGGGAATTATTTTACACTAGGGGAAAAAAATCATTATGGATATTCCCATATGACTTTTCCAGGCCTAGAAACCACATTTCTTTCTAAATGCAGTGTATTGCACAGGTATTCTATGATGGTACTAATAATGATAAGGATTTATTGGTGTCAGATGATTAGACATGAGCAGATGATTCTGCAGGATGAACTCATTCCTGCCTCTGGAAACATCAGACAACGCTTCATTATAGGAAAATAAGCCAAGCTTGAGGATTTGACAGGGAAATAAAATGTCGTCCAGCTCGAGCTCCTGGATGATTCTCCGCTGCACATCTGCACATCCACCGATCACCCGCTAAGATCATGAAACTCGTATGAAATACTGAGTCATATTGAAACACTGCGATAGAAATAATGACGTCAAGTGGCCAGACAGGCTGAAGCTGTCGCGTTCACACGACTGAGATCAGCACGATCAGAATTCCTTGCCAGTTTAATCAGACTTACCCGTAGTATAATAAACGAGGCGGACGCGTTCGAGCTGATGACGGAGCCCACGGTGTGTTTAATTAACCGATCCGCGACATCCGTTCAGTTCATTCGGTTGATGTTCATGTACGGAGCGCCGCTGCGGACACAGAGCATCAACGCTCGGGAGAGAGGGAGAGAGAGAGCGCGAGAGAGAGGGAGCGAGAATACATTTTTAAATTATATAAAATATATTTTATATTATATAAGTTGTATTTGTCTGTTTTGTTTTGCTGTTCACTCAAAAAAATTAAATCATTTTGGATTGTTTAAATCCATGTCAAATATGGAACCGTTGGTTTACATTTTTAACCGTTGGTTTGATTAAATGAAATCCAACGGATTTGGCCCAAACATGGGTTGGAAACAACCCAGCATTTTTGTTTTGTAAAAATTCTGACCTCACATCTAAAAGAAAAGGCGCTTCATATAATAGATCATGGGATAGTTTTAATTAATTATTTTTGTTAATTACATTTTATGAATTAAACAGCTCTTAAGTTAAACATATTTAATTACTAGGAAAAAAAACGTGTTAAACATGAAGTAATATCCAATCATTTAATACATTTTAAGAACTTTTTTTGGCATAAAGCGTTTTTTTAGAATTGAGTAAAGAACCCTGGAGTTCTGTTTAACCTCCACTGAACCATGTTTTCTAACTTTTTTCCTCATAAGATGCCTTTACATGTCCACCAACAAATTAAATGTCAAAAAACTATAGGCCTAGATAGCCTATATAACTAACAAATATATTCCTATTTTTCATGCCGGGACAGATGTAACACTACTTCAGGCTTGCATTTAAGAGAAATATACTGAAAATTTGTATGTTTACGAAAATCTTTAACGTATCAATAGCCGATAGCCTATAGCCTATAGCCTAGTTCAGAATGTCTGTAACTTTATGCTCTAAAAAGGTCACTATGAATTCCTTGTTTATTGAATATTGCAGTGTTTATTATAACTATCTTTTTTATGTCTCATAATCTAGAAATCAGAGTAACTTCCTCTTGCAGCATCTCTTCTCTTCTCCTATGACGAGGGCGGGGCTATAACCTGTCACTCACATCATGAGATCCACCAATAGCAAACCACAATCCAATCAATTCCTCCCCAGATATCACAACAAGCCTATTTGATGTGATTTTTACATCTGGAAGATGTATTTTTAATTAAGACGAGTGTTTGCTCATCTGCAAGACGTCTATAGGACGTTTCCTGCCAGATGTCAAATAGACGTTTAGAAGATGTCTTTAAGATGTAATGATTTAGAATGCAAGTTAAACTGACGTCTATTTGACATCTGACAGGAAACGTCCTATAGACGTCTTGCAGATGAGCAAACACTCTTAAAAATACATCTTCTAAAACATCACATCAAAAAGACTTGTGCTATCTGGGAAGACATTGTTATTTTCCAAGATGAAAAAAATAATATGCTTTATCTAATCAATAAAATTGTGGCAACATATTACAAGCAATATTATTAATTAAATTGTACAAATTAGAATTAATTAGAATGTTAATTTGATTAACTATTACTCAATTCTAATTTGTTCAATTTAATAAATAATATTGCTTGTAATCTGTTGCCACAATTTTATTGATTAGATAAAGCATATTAATTTTTAAAGTATAGCCTACTGTATTATTGATCTGTCCACCTAAATGACATATTTGGAGAAAAGGATGAGGATGAAAGTGGAATAAGGAGGAGATGCTGGATAACAGTATTTAGTTTGAATAAGAAATTGTATGAAATCCAAAATGTATTTCATATATATATATATATATATATATATATATATATATATGCAACGTAGTTATTTTATTTTATTTTATTTTTATTTATTTTTTTGTGGCCTGTGACTTAAAAATGTAGTAGCCAAATTGGCCAGTGAGTGAAAAAGTTAATTTTCAAACCCTGGGTGTATATTTCTCTGTATGTTTTCAACTCACAATGACATCAGAGACATTTCCTCCAACCTGTGAGTGTGTGTGTTTTATAGACAGTAAGTTAAGTTGTTTGATTTATACTGTGAAGCAGCTTTGATACAATCTGTATTGTGAGAAGCGCTAATATAGCCTATTTGATATATTGTGTGTGTGCGTGTGTGTGTGATTGTCCTCCGCTGCTGTAGGAGGCGCTGCTGTTCGATGTTTATGATCATCAGGAGCGAGTTCCGGTGAATATCAGATTTCTGCTAGTGTTTCTGCTCACCGATGAATTTCGTTGATAATTTGCACAAATGGACGAGTAGGATGGATCTGGTGAGTGTTCAGTTGTTGTAATAGTACAGGCTGCTCGATTAACGTGGATCAAAGCCGGTTTAAAGGCTATTCGATGTGTTTTTTGTGTCGAGCGCTCTCACGCGCCGCTGCGTTTACAGAATGAATTTAATCTGATGTGAAGAGCGTGTCTCGATCTCGAGGTATATTCATATTCAGTTGCTCTCAGACATGTTTATTGTGTAGAACATTGTCCTCTGACAGTACCAGTTGACGGGGCTCGCGGTGTGTGTGATGTTATTCACTCTGTTTTAGGACTTCGGGAACAAACTGCCCCAGGCTCTGTCGACAAACACTAAACTGCCCCAGTCTCTCTCCTCTAGCGCTAAATTTCTGCCCTCAGGCCCGTTTGAGCACTACGGGCGGCCCGTGGGAGTCAAAGTCAAAGAGGAAGACGAGAGTGTGGAAGATTTCTTTCATTTCGGTGAGTGACGTCACGCACGCATTTCATATTTGCATTGTGAATCATGTGTTATTTTCCTGACACCGCTCACACTTTCCTTGATTTCAGCATTACCACGTTAATATTAGCAGAGCTAAAGATGTGTGTAACGTACTATTTGAACTTTTCCAGAATGTAATGACCCAGAAAGCAACATGGTGTCGGCCCACATCTGGTACAAGTGGTATCCATATCTGGGCCGACACTATGACGCTGTCTGGGGAATAATGAGTAATAGTTGTGGTAATGAGTCATTTTCAATCTCAAAAGTTGTTTTTGTTGCAACTTATCACATTGAACCAGAGTTGGTACATTTTATTCACAAACATGAGCACCTTTTCAATTTAATGTTAATTAATAAAACAAGTATATTATTATAAAGTATAGTATTCTGTCAGCATTTACTGACAGACTATACATGAAGAGTTCAGATGCAAAAGCCTCTAAATGCCATTTGAAATTTTTTTCTAGAATGGTCATTTTTATCAAGCTTGTATATTTAAGTTCAGTAATTTCACTTAAATTACAATTAATAGGTAATCTTCATTGCCATTTAAGTGAAATTACTGAACTTAAATATACAAGCTTGATAAAAATGATCATTTTAGAAGAAAATTTCAAATGGCACTTAGAGGCTTTTGCATCTGAACTCTTCATATCTTATATCACATTGCTCATAGCCTATGTTTTCTCTGATGCATTTATTCAGCTACTTACTATTAAAATATTGGTTCACCCAAAAATGAAAATTCTGTCATTTACTCACTCATGTCGTTCTAAACCTATTAGATTCCCATTTGTCTTCAAAACACAAACGTAGATATGTTTAATGAAGTCTGAGAGATTTCTGTTCCTCCATTGAATTCACCCAAAACATTCATAAAGAAATGGTTAATAAATCAATTTGAATTTTGAACGGATTGGTCTAAGCAAGTCTCCTGAAGAGACCCGGTCGCTTTGATGCACAGATTTAATTTGGGCTTTTATTCACATATAAACTTGAGCCAACAATGTTTACGGCGTTCAATTTTGGCAAGTGGAAGCTCAACCAATGAGGTTTCTTCTCACGGGTCACATGGCATGGTTGAGATTTTTTTGTTGGCTGATCAATGTTTACACGTGAATAAAAGCCTTAATTAAATCTGTTCGTCATATAATGAGGTTGTCTGTTCTTGAATTAAATGGTTCGATTCAGATGCATTTATTTTATGATTTCTTCGTGTGAACAGACTTTCAATGGAGGGACTGAAATCTCTCAGATTTCATTTGGGTATTTGTCTTTCAAAGATAAGAGTAAATGGCTGAACTATCCCTTTAATTGACTAAAAAAACTCCCACACCTGATGATGTAACACTTTACAATAAGGTTCATTACTTAACATTAGTTTTAACTAACTAACATTTATTGAAGGAAGGCTTAACCCTGAGTATAATGGTGTTGTTCTGTCCTGACCAGCTCAGCATCTGCAGCAACAGACCGGAGAGTGTCTCACGGCTTGTTGCGGCGACTCCGATCCTAAAAGCCTGTCTCTTCCCGATTCCCCCAAATCCAACAACCGTCCCTCGGCGGACCGGCCGTACCACTGCCAGGACTGCGGGAAATACTTCCGAATCAACGACATCAAGAGACACCAGAGAATACACAGCGGAGAGCGCCCGTTCCCGTGCTTCCAGTGCGGGAAGAACTTCCCCACATCCGGGGACCTGAAACGACACGAGAGAATCCACACGGGAGAGCGTCCGTATCACTGTCTTCAGTGCGGGAAGAACTTCTCCGACTCCGGGCATCTCAAGCAACACGAAAGGATGCATACGGGCGAGAGGCCGTACCAGTGTTCCCAGTGCGCCAAGCGCTTCTACAGATCCGGAGATCTCAAACGCCACCTGCGGATCCACAGTGGCGAGCGCCCGTATAAATGCCTCCAGTGCGGGAAAACCTTCTCGGATTCGGGACACTTGCGCGGACACCAGCGCATTCACACCGGGGAGAGGCCGCACCGGTGCACCCTGTGCGAGAAGAGCTTCTTTAGATCCGGGGATCTGAAACGCCATCACAGAACACACACGGGCGAGAGGCCGTACCAGTGCTTCCAGTGCGGGAAGAGCTTCTCCGAGTCGGGACATCTGAAGGAGCACCGCAGGATCCACACCGGCGAGAAGCCGTACCAGTGTAACCAGTGCGACAAGAGCTTCTCCAGGCTGGAGCGTCTGAAGGGCCACCAGAGCATCCACACGGGCGAGAGGCCGTTCCACTGCACACAGTGCGGGAAGAACTTCTTCCGCTCCGGAGAACTGAAGCGGCACCAGAGGATTCACAACGGGGAGCAAGCGTGAAGCCGAGGGCGAGACTGCCGGGCGGGAGATTTGGCATCGGTACCGTTCTTAAAGGATTAGTTCACTTTTGAAAAAACTTTTGCTGATAATTTACTCGCCCCCGTGTCATCCAAGATGTCCATGTCTTTCTTTCTTCAGTCGAAAAGAAATTAAGGTTTTTGATGAAAACATTCCAGGATTTTTCTCCATATAATGGACTTCAATGGGGTCCAAAAGAGTTAACAGTTTCAGATGCAGCTTCAAATGTCTTTAAACGACACCAGACGATGAATAAGGGTCTTATCATGCGAAACTTATTCCAAAAATGTAACTTTTCTAAGGACAAATGCTAGCCTTGCCCTATTCTGTGAGGCGCGTTTGTAACGTCACGTAATACGTAATTACGTTCAAAAGGTCACGGGCGACGTAGCCGGAAGTACAGAATCAAAATCGTCCGACATCGTTGTTTTACCTTTTAATTCCTTTTTTGTAAACGGCGTTTGAGTTAGTTTGCACGTTCAACCTATGCGTTCAACTTGTAAACACTGACTCTGTACTTCCGGCTACGTCGCCCGTGACCTTTTGAACGTAATTACGTATTACGTGACGTTACAAACGCGCCTCACAGAATAGAGCAAGGCTAGCATTTGTCCTTAGAAAAGTTACATTTTTGGAATAAGTTTTGAAATGAGCGATCGTTTCGCATGATAAGACCCTTATTCATCGTCTGGTGTCGTTTAAAGACGTTTGAAGCTGCATCTGAAACTGTTATTAACTGTCTTTTGGACCCCATTGAAGTCCATTATATGGAGAAAAATCCTGGAATGTTTTCATCAAAAACCTTAATTTCTTTTCAACTGAGGAAAGAAAGACATGGACATCTTGGATGACACGGGGGTGAGTAAATTATCAGCAAAAGTTTTTTCAAAAGTGAACTAATCCTTTAATGTTTTTAAGAGAAGTCTCTTTTGCTCACCAAGGCTCTATTTGATTAAAAATACAATGATGTGAATCAGCTGTGAATATACAGTAAAGTGTCATTTATTCCTGTGATCAAAGCTGATTTTTTTTTTGTCTTCAGTGTCACATGATCCTTCAGAAATCGCTCTAATATTGTGATTTGATACATTTCTGGTTATCAATGTTGAAAACAATTATTTACTTTTTTATTTCAGGTTTATTTGATGAATAGAAAGTTCAAAAGAGCAGAATATATCTGAAATGGAAAGCTTTTGTAACATTAAAAACTACCGTTCAAAAGTTTGGGGTTTTATTTTTATTTTTTGGGTGGAAAGGAATAAAATAAATCAATACTTTTTTTCATCAAGGGTGGATTAAATTGATTAAAAGGGACAGGAAATACATTTATGATGTTACAAAATATTCTATTTCAAATAAATCCGGTTCTTTTAACTTTCTATTCATCATAGAATCCTGAAAAAAAAAATAAAAAATCATATTAGAGTGATTTCTGAAGGATCATGTGACACTGAAGACTGGAGTAATGATGATAAATTCAGGAATAAATTACATTTTAAAATAGAGAACAGTGAGAATTTTTAACAATCGCCTTGGCGAGCAGAAAATACTTCTTTTAAAAACATAAAAAATCGTACAGATCCAAAGCTTTTGTCTGGTAGTGTTTGTGTATGTTACTTTAGTGCACCTGTGATACCGTAGAGAATTGATTCTCACTGACTTCTCTTCCATTTCCCCATTAGAAACCAGCATACGCTGAACTCTAGCATTGTGATAAACACGTGCATCAGTTGGTGATTGCCGTTATGAACGCTTACAAACGCCCCAGATTTCCTCGATCCTTCAGACTGATCATGTGATCAGGTTGTTGTTCACACTGTCTGTCTGTGTGTTGTTGCCAGATATATAGTCAAGTGACTCATTAGAACTGTATATTGTACAGGAGGATATTATTATTGTGTATGCTTGCATTCCCTGTATTTAATGAATCCCCTCAATTTTCTTTTATTTTATATATAAACATGAAAACTGTTTTATTGTCACAGTGCAGTAGCCGTCCGTCAACGTGAGACGATGCTTCTGAATCCTCTAATTTTAATGTGACCGTATGGTTCGTGTCTCAGTCTTTCAATGGTGGCAGAGTTTTACCAGCCGCTGTTAACCACAAAACACAGTTATTGATAACTATAACATTTTATTGTCACAAATATCTTAAATAAGTTACAAACTATAGATATCCGCTCATACTAAATTGATGTTGAGCACCAGGGGAATTGTATAGCAAACTGAGCTTTGTCATAATAAATCACATTAGATTTAGCTTTTAAGTTTTTATAAATTAGCTCTTTACATTTATTATTGTTTCAAATTGTCATCTAATTTTTACTTTCTCTATATTTGTGTGTATTTAACCATTTGTAGTCGGTGTGTATTCAGTTTGAAATGCGATCAGAAAGGCTTTTAAGAACAGTGTTAAGGGTGAATTATAATTATAACTGTTTCGCTTCTTCATGTGCATGAATGTTTTCTTCATAATGTGTGTCATTAATAAACATTTCACCTGTACTAATGCCAGCACACATCAAGATTCGTTTATTGGTCTTGTGTAACATTTCACATTTCCACAATAGACTGATTAAATAAATTATAAAACTTCAGTTGAATAGAGTGATTAAGGGTTGTTTAATGTTTTTTTTTTCATATCTGTCCGAGTAAATTACTATTATTTAATTTAAACGATTTAATGTTTAGAAGTAAACACTGCAAACCGTTTCCGCTTTCTTGTGGAAGCGATGCTCATTTTACGACATCTGGGTTGGCTGTACGGCACTGCTCCGGAAGTCTGGTAACCAGGGAGACGGCTGGCGGCACTGCGGTCAGCGCGAGACGGTGAGCTGTTATTGATTCGAAATCTCATATTAAATAAACGAAACAGTTAGTTTTCTTAGTCAGATATGTGTTTTCTAATGTTTCCACGAAACTACAAATGGCGCTTGACAGGGACGGAACAGTCTAGGGGCGAAACACGGTTCATGTGTAAACAAAACAAACACTAAAACACAGAAACTCGTGAAAACCAGCAGCCTTTGTGAGAATATGATTCTCACGTGACCGTCGTTAGCTTTAATTTGACGGATTAACGGCCGTTTTCGTTCGTGTTCGTTCATTTAAAAGGCTTTTAGTGATGTTTTCCAGTCAGTTAGCCTTGTTGAGCTGCTGTAGTTCAGCACTGATCACAGGTCAGGGCTCAGGTGTGCTGTTTCTTCTGCAGGTGGTGGTGATGATGATGTCAGACAGGTGGGATGTTCAGCTGTTGTGAAGCTTCTGCAAACTCACCGACTGCTTGCACTCACAGGTGAGATGTTTATGAGGGTTAATACGAGATGTTGATGTTTTTTAACGCTCATCAGACTTCTTCACTAATACCGGTAGATTGCAGTTTACAATAGCATTGTGTAAAGCCTTAAAGGGATAGTTCACCCAAAATGAAAGTTCATGCATTAATTAGTGTTTCCAAACCTGTAAGGCTTTCGTTCATCTTCAGAACACAAATGATGATCTTTTTGAGGGAATCTGAGCGATTTCTGCCCCTCCATTGACCGCAAACGCAACTACCACTTTGACAAAGATTTTGGAGAACTAATTCATATGAAGTGGTCAGTCAAGTCCAAACTTTCTGAAGACACTCGATCGCTTTATATGATGAATAGATTGAATTTTGGGTTTTATTCACATTTAAACTGATCAGCGAAGATGTGCGAGAACAAACCTCTCGCGGAAGCTCAAACGTGATGCGTAACATGACGAGAATGAACCTCATTGGTTCTTTTAAAGCTCAAACGTGATGCGTAACCCTTTCACGCAGAAGTTCTTTATTGCGTCGCTGCAGTCATCTCAAATCATAAACTAAAATACAGACTTTTTTATATACTTTACAAGGGGGAGTAGTTAGATAGAGGAGTGGACTCTTGAAACAAAGCAAATGTTAAGGATTCAGCTGGTTACATGAGTTTATCGGCATAGCAGTTATTCGAGCCTTGAGATGCTAATCCATTCAGCCTGACTAGATTGCTCAAACCTTACATTATCATTGAGACAAAGGGTGGGAGTCTCCGTAATCTCACTCATTTAACTTACAATAGAGAGACAAGGACAGACAGAAAAGAGCCATTAAGAGTTTCAGCAATCTTTCATCCCCCTCCTCACCTTGAATGCTAAATTCAATGTACAGAAATGACTTTCTCGGTAAATTAAACGTATTCTTAACCCTAAAACCGTATTCTGGACAAATGTGGGTAAAATAGTTTTGATTTATTTAAAAAAAAATACTTCCCTTGATCTGAGCGGTACAAGACTTGGCTACTTCTCCTAAGTTTGCCTCCTGAACACACACAATTTTCACATTAATGTTAAGTGGGTGAAAAAAATCCTCCTTAATCTTGCACTCATAGAAATGAATGGGAAAAACTGTAATTTAGAGCATTCTCAAATAAGCCAGCAAAGTCACTTCATCTTTAGGTTTTAGCTCTAGGAACTTATTGGAATGATATTTTAATGTAGTTAAAAAAATAAAACATAAAAATAAGCATAATTTAGATGGAAATATATGGTACTTTTTGAAGTAAATAAATTCAAAAATACCCTCAAAATAAAAAGAAACACCATAAATGGATAGACAAAACTTTATCGAAGATAATAAATAAAAATTAGGAGTCCTCCGTGCCCACATTTGTCCACAATTACAGGATTAAGGGCTATAAAGTGAATACGGTTTGTAATCTTTCACTATATAATATTAGTTTCACCTTTTAAGTTGAATTAAATAAATTAACTTTCGCACGATATTGTAATTGAGTTTCACCTGTATTTTTTGCCATGAAAATAGCCTTAGATGCTGACATGGAGTTCAATTAAGCTATCCATCTGTGTTTCTCCAGAGCGATCCCATGGAGGTCCGTAAGCCGGTCCTGGAGCTGAAGGACGTGCCTCCGCCGCCCCCACACACACACTCGTGTCTCAGCGTAAGCGTGTGTTCCTGCTGTGAAGCGAGCGTTCGTCTGAAGAAGAGCTCGAGTGGCGTCACCGGTGGAGGCTTTCCTTTGTATCTCTCACACACACTCACACACTCTCCTCCAGCGTCACACTGCGCCGGTCTGAGGCCGACACACAACGGCTCCTCTCTGTGTAAACTCTGTCAGTGTCGTTTCCCACACGGTGACCCGTCCTCACCCCCTCACCCCTGCTCTAACTCACTCCGGCACGCGTCGCGGTGTGTGACGGGCGCTCACTGTGTGCAGGACTGCTGGAGAAAGGTTGGTGGATCCGATCGCTCGCTCACTGGCTGCGTTTACATGCACAACTTCTGTTGAGCTTCTGAATCTGAATGTAGTGTTTACATGAACGCTAAACCTGATCGGGTTTATGTCGCCAGCTTTAAATCAGGATATATGTTTTGACATGCGCACACTGGTGGAATATACAGAGTTTCCCGCTGTTTGCACATAACTATCCTCCTACATCGGTTCTTTATTTGTTTTAAACAGCAGACTAAATATATTTAATCCATTTCTGGTCATGATTTGGTAGGACTGTCAAACGATTAATCGCATCCAAAACTAAAGTTTGTGTTTATATAATATATGAAGAGTTCAGATGCAAAAGCCTCTAAGTGCCATTTGAAATTTTCTTCTAGAATGATGATTTTTATCAAGCTTGTATATTTAAGTTCAGTGATTTCACTTAAATGGCAATGATAATTACCTATTAATTGTTATTTAAGTAAAATTACTGAACTTAAATATACAAGTTTGATAAATCATCATTCAAGAAGAAAATTTCAAATGGCATTTAGAGGCTTTTGCATCTGCACTCTTCATATGTGGGTGCACTGTGTATAATTATTGTATATATAAATAATTTTATAAAATAAATACACACACATGCTTGTGTATATTTAAGAAATATTTTCATGTATATAGATTTATATATAATTAATATTATTTATACATATAAATAATATTTTTTCTTAAATATACATGCATGTGTGTGTTTTTATATTTATAAACAAAATAATTACACACAGTGCACCCACATATATTATATAAACACAAACTTTTATTTTGGATGCGATTAATCGTTTGACAGCCCTATGATTTGGAGACATTGGGTCTCATTCATGAAACACGAGCAAAACTAACTTGTGTAAAGTGGTTCTGTTTTAAATTTTCTGATTCATTAAAATGTTTGTCATTTCAAAATGTTAGTTTTGAAATTACGCGGAAATAGTGAGTTTAACATCCGAACGTTTTGCTCATTAACTAAGGCTGCATTTTAATTCGCCTTAATCGGGTACATATTTACACCACATTTTGAAAAAATATTATATATAGTAATTACATGCGTTTTTTTTCTTTTTACTTCTACTGTTTGATTAACAGATGCAACTCCGTTAACTGCGTCTGTAATATGCTTCCAAGCTTCATTTTTAGGACCCGATACCTGAATGTGGTGTTTTGAATGAACTGATAATAAAACCTCAATTCCTGCATCTGAAAAATTTTTCATTTGCTTTTGAGAAAACATGTTGAAATCCTTCGTTTGGTGTCGTATGATGCCCATATATAGTTGTCAGTCGGATTTAATGGGCGGGATTTATGCTAATTGAGAATTGAGCGTGCACGCGCGTCCCATTTACAACTGATTGGAATTAGGGCTGTGAAATGATTAATCGCGATTAATCGCATCCAAAATAAAATTTTGTGTTTACATCATGTGTGTGTAGTGTATAATTATTTTGTATATATAAATACACACATATGCATGTATATATTTAAGAAATCTTTGCATATATATATATATATATATATATAATACAAAATGAATATTATATATAAATATTTGATATGTAAATCACATTTTTCTTAAATATAAACATGCATATGTGTATATATATATATACAAAATAATTATATACACTACACACACATTTATGATGTAAACAAACTTTTATTTTGGATGCGATTAATCGTTTCACAGCCCTAATTGGAATTCATTTACACACATATTTCTCTATCACATCTGACAAAGTATTTGTGAATCAGGAGATGAGTTTTCGGGAAAGTTTCTTTACGTGCAAATAACTCTCATTTAGCCGTATATTTATGAATGTCTCCTGAATGAGACCCAGTGTGAGCGTATGAACCGCTTATATTGATCACAGTAAAAATACCCAGAGCCGGTCGTCTGTGGATGAGTCTGAATCGACACTGGTGGACGTTGTCCTGCTCCCCTTCACACACACACACGCTGAGAAACGGGACACTCTTTATACGAATTTTTATACAACACTTTACTCAACAGCTCACTCGTCATTATGTTATTTCTACGTCAACGCACATGTGGAGTCCTTTCAGTTTCGGTTTCTCTTCGGCTCTCGATCGGATTAAAATAAGAATAAACCTCCCCTTCCATTCGGATCGATTAAGGCGTTCACATGAAGGCTTTTCAGTCTGGTTGAGCCGTCAATCCGATTTGTTAGCATGTAAACTCAGCCCCTGTTGATCCGAGCACATCCTGTTAATCCAGAGAGAAGGCGAGGCAAGAAACGTGTGGATTCTGTGCTGAAATCTGACATGGATCTCTCCTGCTTTGTAGAGTTTGCGTGTCGACTCGGAGAAGGTCTGGCCGAACATTCCTCCGCCCGTCCCGGTGTGCAACGGCTGCGGCGTGACGGGAGTTTCCTCCGACGGTCTTCTGGGTGTCCACCTCGGCAAAACCCCACAGAAATATGGTCTGTACACACACCAAATGCACATTGTTTTACTCGCTGCTGATAGTAATAGCCGATTATGTAACTTAGTTTTGATGAAAAGGAACACAACTTACTAAATGCTTTTGCATTGCACCATTAACCCTTGTGCATCAATTAAAAAAAGTTGTAAAAAGAGGACAAAAATGTCCACGTCAAAAAACTGTCATAAAAATGTGATGCGTCGGAGCACAGACTTAAGTTTGGTATCATTTTAAAGAAGATTATTGCTGAAGTAAAAAAATAATAATAAGTAAATACAAAAAAAAGTTATATAGGTATACGTTTTTGAAAATTATTTATAAAAAATATTTTACATTAAATATATATTTTATAAATCAGGTTGAACTCAAAACTGCAATAAAATCAAAGCCATAAATCTAAATAGGTTGTGTTCCAAATTTGAGGATGATATCTCAAAAAATGAGCTTTGGGTAACAGTTTGTTTGGGCGTAGTAACATATTTTCCCCATTGGGTGGCAGCAAAACCCCACTGGAGCTCACAGTGATTGGATTTGAATTTGCAGTTTTTCTCTCAGTATTACAAACACACACACATATTTTTTTATAACACACATACTAACCACTAACCTTACATCCATACCAACACACCCACACAAATATTGTTGCATAATTTATCCAGTTGGCTCTATAATATGCCGAACCAGAAAACAGGAATAAAGCGATATTTGTTTTATAGGCCAAACTTAAAAAAAAGGCACCATCTGATAAAAAATTGTAAAAAATAAAATTTTGAAGCCTTGCCATCCGAATGAAAGCCTCTTAACAAAGATTGCATAATTTTATAGTTAACTGAACCGGGGATTAAAAATGGCAGTTTCAATGGGGACATTTTTGTCCAAAAGGCGCTGAGAGGGAGGATTTTTTGTACCTAATGCAAAAAATATTTTTTTAAGAAAATAACGGTGAAATAGTAAAATTCCAATAAAAATACACACCTGTGGCAAGTTTTTTGCCGTTAGCTTTAACACAGGCAAAGTGATCAAAAAAAACAACTGATGCAAAGGATGCACAAGGGTTAAATAGTTGCGACGTAACTCTGTATAAACTAAATATTTTTGGAAGCCTCGTAAAATAGCTGATTGACTGACTTGCATCAATTTTACCCAGCAATCCTTTATACATATATGATAATGCTTACATTAGGATTTCTGCCTTCTAGGTCTTTTATTTTACACAAAATAAAGCGGTCTTAAATTAGATGTGGTAGAAATTCATCACCGTACCTGACTGAAGTTTACCTGGGGCGTCTCCAGTCAAAACACTTAATATTTATATAGCACCACGTCTACAGTCGACATCTGGCTTCGAGTCGGTCGACATCTCAACCTTTTTGAACACTAACCTCCTCAATTAAAGCACTTGAACAATAGAAGTAACATCTGTAGTGTCCAGCCTGAATTAAACAGACTCCAGACGATGCCTTAGAAATTGCTAAGGCATATTTAGGCATATTATATTAAAACGAATATGCTTTAATCACGACTGGAGGATCTCAGTTTCAGAGAGAAGCGCACCAGCAAAAACAATACAAGAGTTCTTAAAGAATAGGAGAATGGCAAATGTGACGTGACATTCATGATTCAGAGACGACTGTCTAGTTTCACTTCCCCTTTTGGTATATCTAGACGTGAATCAGAAAACCACTGACTTTGGCCAAAGTGTTGGGGACATTTAGTTTTCAAAAGCATAAAAAACTAATCTTGTAAGAAATATAAATGGTAGTTATGAATAAAGAAATCCATCACACAGAGCAGAAAGACTTCATAAAGTTATGGCATTAAATGCATGCAATGCAAAAAAAAGTGTTTGTCCTGTTTTCCAATACAGATATTTTTGATTTTAATTTTAAAATGAGAGTTTATTCTTAAAACAGAACAAATATCTTTTCAAAGAGTAATTAAAACTTCCCTTTGAATTGTGTGTGAATTAGGGCTGTGCAAAAATTAATTGCAATTAATCGCATCAAAAATAAAAGTCTGTGTTTACATAATATATTTGTGTGTACTGTATATAATTATTTTGTATATATAAATACACACACATGCATGTATATATTTAAGAAAATGTGTTATTCATATATAAAATATTTATATTTATATAATATAGATTATGTGTATATATATATATATATATATATACAGAATTTAAGCGCAAATAATTCTTAAATATATACATACATACATGCATGCATAGGTATTTATATACAAATTAATTATATACAGCACACACAAATATATTATGTAAACACAGACTTTTATTTTTGATGCGATTAATCGCTATTAATTTTTGCACAGCCCTAATGTGACTCTGACCCCATTGGCAGATTTTTGTTCATTTTTAGCACAAACTCACTTCATTTGGATCAGTTTCACAAAACAAAAACACAGCAGTTTCTTTAATCCAAAGCGACTTACAAATGATGAGAGCAGTTTTGTAATTGTGTATATCTAGTAAATGTATCTTGATTTAAAAATATTTAGACAATTATACTGGAAAACAAGAAAAAAAGCTACTTTTCAAGCTGCTTTTTTCCTACAAATGAATTGAAAAGTAATTCATATCTTGAAAGTTAAGTATTTTAAACCTCTGAAGTGTCGCTAATAATAGTGAAATGATTCGGCTTCTGTCAAAATGATTGATGGCCTATTTGATTGACAGGTTTACCTTCCGGTATAGGGGTTAGGGATTAACCTTTGACCTTGTCATCCCTTGATCATGTGTTTTTGACTGTTAGTTTGACCTATTGAGTCTCGCGGTTATATTTAATAGTTTTGACAATAAAGAGATTCTCCACTTTTTTTTTTTTTTTTTTTTTTGGAAATAGGCTCATTTTTCAACTCCCCCAGAGTTAAGCGGTTGAGTTTTACCGTTTTCGAATGTATTTAGTCGATTTTATGATATTTAGAAGAATATCAGTAAACTGTCTGGTTATTGATATTCTGGTTACTGAATAACTTTATCCAAAAAAAGTGGAGAATCCCTTTAAGATTTGACCTATTGGCTTTCCTAGTCATGTGTCATGTAGTTTTGACAGATGGTTTTGATGATTGTTTGAAGATGGTGCCAAGAAGGGTTATAGGAAGTGTGTCATAGGATCCTCCCTCCGCATTATTGAGCGCATGATTGGGCCGGCTCGGGCACTGTGGAAGTTTCTCACGCTAAAGTTGAAAAAAATTGTTAATTTAAAATTATATATATAATATAAAATAAATATCTTCCTAATTTATGTAACGTGGAAAAAAAATTCTATATATAAATGAGATACTTAAAATAAACATCTTACTAATTTAACTAAAGTTGAAAACCATTCAGTTCTTTAAAGTCAATATCTTACAAAAAAATGACTAAACCAGTGATTTTAAAACAAAAAAATAAATAATATCTGACATTTTTAGCGACATAAAGAAAACATACAGGTTATGAACGGTTCACAAAAATAAAATCATTTTACACACTAACTTACATTTTTAGAGAGATGAAGAAACAATGCAACAGCAATTTGCAATGTTTAGATAAAATAAAAATCATCTTACAGTCTTTAAGTCTTTACGGTCTCTGCGTTTGGTCTGTTTTTTCCTGAAGGGCTCTTTTTACACCGGCGTTTGGCCTCTAACTCACTGATCTGTGTGTGTGTGTGTGTGAGAGAGAGACACAGACCAGTCAGGCTAAATGAGTGCCACTTTCACCCTAGCGCTAATATTTTAAATGTGTTTTAATTAAAAGCATCGTATCTCAGGTAGAGGAGTGCTAAGTTTGACAGTTTTGACGTTTATATCAATGAAATACAGCGTTGTGTGTGCCAGAGGCTCTGTGTACCCCTGAGTTATAAGACGTGTACACTAGCGGACACACAGCACTGTTTTCATACAGTCGAACAGAGCGTATAAATGCACCTTGGCTTTGATCAAGCATCATTTTTGGACCAAAAACTTTTGCAGACTCTCTTCTCTGCTCACCTCATCAAAAATGCAAAACAGTGAGTATTTTCTCTATAATTAATTTATGCTACGGTGTTTTAAACATGCAAATATTAAACCTTTTAAAGTTTTAATACATTTGTATCTTCTATTTAACTGAATACTGTAATGATTTTGTTTAACAGTGACCCTAGAGTATAATTTTATTAATATAGCCATAATGATTTTTCTACTTTAACAGCATATTCTATCTCGTACATTTAAAACACGACCGTTACAGAAAACTGCATTTTTTACATTTTTAAAATAAATCATTTAATATAATTTCTAAGCTGTTTTGCACTCCAAACACAAGCCGATTCCATAAAATTAACATCTCTATTTTTAAATCAAATGATTATGGCGTATATAACTCAATGAATAATAACATATGTTACCAAAATATATTCTCATACAAATTAAACCTAGTTTTATCTAAATGAATATATATTTTTTTAAATTACATGTATACATTTAAAAAACGCCTTACATTTTCATAGAGCTGAAGTAGTTTTTTACGCGATGATAAAAACAAATCCAAAAACCAAATAAAATTAAAAATTTTTTAAGAAATCTTTTAAAATGTTATAATTTGTTGATGCGACAGTTTGTCTTTCCGCATGAGCAGACATTGGGGGGAGAGCTCATTATATATACCAGGAAACATGCCCTTTGACCTCCTCCATTTGAAGGCTGTTTGTGAAAGAACCTTCAAGTTAGTCCTTAAAGGGTAATTAAACCCCTGGTCAGAGCTAACTGCTAACATCCAATAGGAAAATTCAACTGCAGTAGCCACCGTTCAACCTGAAGAGGGCAGCACTAGGACGTTTTACACCATATATTGTAGAAATAAAACACTTTATACACGTGTCAAAAAAAGTTACTCGAATCAATGACTGGTAAGATCCATTCTTACAGATCATTTACTAAAAAAAGTTGGTTTAGGGTTTAGTTACTCGTTAACCCTTTACCTGTCACCCCCCTTTTTGATAATTGACATTAAAATGCACTATACAAACTTAAATGGTTGTAATTCAAGAATGCTTTGGAATATAGACCTAAGTTTGGTCTTGTTTTAAAGAAAACAATCAGCAGATTATTACTAAAGTGAAAGCACTTAAAAAAATTAAAGTATGAAAAAGTTATGGAAGTTATAATTTACAGTAAATCAAATATATTAATTAATATGAAATAAATATTTTACAAAATATGTTTTACTATAAAATGAAAGCTATATATGTAACCAAGTTGTGTTCCAAATTTGAAGTTGATATCACAAAAGTTGAAGTTTCCATGAGATTTTGTTTAGGCGTAGTACCAAAAATAGCCACCGGGTGTAATTCCATTGAATTTAATTGTATGGATTTTGTCATAACAAATTAATAAATTTCTATCCAAATATCACTTCTGTCACTAAATTGAGACTACCTTGAGACTCAGACCTTTCTGACAATATGTGCTTTGTCAAGTTTAGAAAAGGTTTTCATAATAAATTATGAAAGATGATGCCCAAAAGGGGAGGGGGCTAATAAAAAAATACCGTTTCTATGGTAACGCAACTTCCAATTTCAAAACGGTTTTCACAGGATGAATTCTGAGTTCGTAAGCTTTCAAATGATGCCTAATTTATGATAACTACAAAAATATGTGATATTATAATAATAAAAAATTATATTATATAGACTTCTTACCTTTTTAAAATATAATTTTATCTTTTTTTATTGAAAAATACTAATTATGTTTTATAATGAACTTTTAGCACTAAAAACCAAAGTTTCAATTATTAAAAGTGTGTGTGTCGACTTTTTGTGACAAAGGTCAGAAACTCCTGTAATGACGTTGATTTTTTTTGAGGCGCACTCTTGTCATAAATTCATATATTACTGTTCATTCATAATCTGTAAGAAAAAAACAGACCTAAAATATCTATTTAGGAGTCTTAGACCTTTCCAATGATATATAGTTTGTCATGACTAGATTAGGATTTAATAGTAATATAGTGAAGTAAAGTTAGGTTGCCCGTATACGGGCAAGTGACCGTTAAGGGGTTAAAGGTAAGCTGTTTAGGAATTTCTCCCATCTAATTGTGTTTTGCAATTTAGAATCGAATCGAATTGGAGCGTCTGAATCGAGACCCTGCCCTGCTCACTGACTGTGTGTCTGCAGGTCCTTCAGAGAGCGGCGCGCTGGAAACGCTGCCCCCCATCGGGGTGTTCTGGGACATCGAGAACTGCGCGGTTCCCAGCGGACGCTCGGCTGCGACGCTGGTGCACAGACTTCGAGATCGCTTCTTTCAGGGACACCGCGAGGCCGAGTTCATCTGCGTGTGTGACATCAACAAAGAGAACAAAGCCGTCATCCAGGAGCTCAACAACTGCCAGGTGCGCACGAGCATCACACATCAACCACAGCATGACGGCGTTTTACTCGTGATGAGAAAAAACAATCCAAGGAAAATATCTCACCCATAACACGAAACTTCATTTATTACAGTAATTCAACTTTAAAGGCTGAAACTAATATATTATATAGACTCAATACATGCAAAGTGAGATATTTCAAGCTTTTATTTCTTATAATTGTGATGATTATGAAAACACTGAATAAATAAGAAAATTAAAAAGTTTTTTATAGCTGTAAGACATTATCATCAAATTATAACAAATAAAGGCTTGAAATATCTCACTTTGCATGTAATGAGTCTATATATATATTAGATTTACCTTTTAAGTTGAATTACTGAAACAATTCAGTAATAATTCCTATGGAGGAGTGATCCAACTCTCAGATTTAATTAGGGGTGTACGATATATCGTCCACCATATCGGTATCGGCCGATATTTGCTAATTTTTATGTTATCGGTATCGGCCCGATAATGAAATTTGGCTGATATATAAAAGCTGATAAATAATGAATTATTTCCTTCAACACTTGACACCTGAGACACTTAAGATGATCTTAATTGCTTGAAATATGATTGGAATCAAAAAGGAAAATATAGTTAAGTACAAAATGTGCTGTACATGAAATTATAATGAGAACATTATAATTGTGTTAGGGGACGGATTTTTAATTGTGAGACTTTTGTTTTTGCAAGCAGGCTTTCAAAAATTATATAAACATTGGATTTAGATTTATCGGCCGATATATCGGTTATCGGCTTTCAAATATAAAGAGTTATCGGTATCGGCCAAAATGTTCATATCGGTGCATTCTTAGATTTAATCAAAAATATCTTAATTTGTGCTCCGAAGTCTTACGGGGTTGAACGACACGAGGGAGAGTAATTTCTGACAGAATTATTGTTTTGGGATGAATTAACCCATGAAAAAGACTTTTTATATTTTCTAAAATCAAATTACTCGAGTGCCTTGGATTGTTTTTCTTATGAGTGAATCTATCCCTACACCAGCAGAAGAGCACTTGTATTCATGATTGTTTCATATGCATGTGTTGATTGGCTCGATCTGGTCCTGCTCAGGTGACGGTGGCCCACATTAACGCTACAGCCAAAAATGCAGCCGACGATAAACTGCGTCAAAGTCTCAGGAGATTCGCGGACACACACGCTGCTCCCGCTACGGTCATCGTGGTTTCATGTAGGTGTCCACAAACACACAACTCTGTTATTTAAATATTTAAGAGTATTGAATCATGACAAGTCAGATTTATCCCTGTACATAAAAGTGCTGATGTAATAGAATTACAGTTAAAGACCCAACGACCATATACGATTAATTAGGGCCCGGTTGCATAAACTTAGCCACTATGTTAAAGGGATACTCCACTTTTATTGGAAATAGGCTCATTTTACCACTCCCCCAGAGTTAAACAGTTGAGTTTTACCATTTTCCAATCCATTCAGTCGATTTTTATTTTTTTATTTTTTCTGATATTTAGAAGAATATCAGTAACCAGACAGTTTCTGGTCTCATTGACTTTCATAGTAGGAAAAAAATATACTATGGAAGTCAATGAGACCAGAAACTATCCGTTTATTCTTCGTGATATTCTTCTAAATATAAAAAAAATTTGACTGAATGCATTCGAAAACTGTAAAACTATTACTACTGTAAAGCCTATTTCCAAAAAAAGTGGAGTATCCCTTTAAGAATGTACGTTAAGAATTAATTTGAGCGCTAGAAATTAGTCAAGAGGAGATCAGTCTTTCTTTTCTGATTCACATTATACAGATCAACCTGACTTCAAAAAGTTAGCACCAGTCTTGAGGAAACTTAACTTTTAAGACTAGTCTATCTATGTCTAAGACTAGTTTATGCAACCGGCCCGAGGAGTTAGAAATGCAATCAATTTAAGACGAGTCGGAATTATAATATTTTGAAGATTTATACCCTTCACCAAGGTCTAAGCTACGTCATTACTTCAGGTTGAATGATTCTGATTGGTTAAGAAGTAGATAAACACTCATGGACAGATAGACTGAAGCATATCTCCATTGATTATGCGGCTGACCCTTAAGTTAGGCACGTCGGGACCTTCCAGGTTGCAGATCTGCTTTTCTAGTCTAATCATTTCTAATAATACCATTGTTCCTTAACCTGTAACCAACAAGACTAACACTCTCTCACACACACATAGCTTCAAGGTTGGATTTGGTCTGGCTCTAACTATAAACATGAGAGTCGTCTCAAAACATCCAGATAACACGTTCGTTCTCTCAATGAGAGGACGCTTTAATCTAACACCGTGAAGTAAATGGGTGTTTGAATTGAGACTGATCTTTCGTGCACAATCACATCACACACTTCACATGCGAAAGCGAAACTGAGTTTCTGTGTGTCGTTCCCGCAGCGGATGTGAACTTCGCCAGTGAGCTGAGCGACCTGAGGCACCGACACGGTTTCCAGGTGATCCTGGTGCACAAGAGCCAGGCCTCGCCCGCGCTCCTGCAACACGCACACCTGCGCGTCGCCTTCGAGGAGTTCGTCTCGGACCTCCCGCCCGGCATGATCGTCAAAGCACAGGTCAGCCTCACTCCCTCCGTTCCTGGCCAGTGTTGGGGAAACTCATTACAAGTAACTCGAGTTATGTAATCAGATTACTTTTTCAAGTAACTAGTAAAGTAACGCATTCGTCAATTTACTTTTTCAAATAATAGCGCTAGTTAGTGTTTCACATTTATTGACTGACAGCCTGTCCCCATGTTTCAGAGAAATAAAGTGTTATTTTAGTTTAGACTAAATGCATTTGCTTATCTCACTGCCACGAAAATATTCAGTATTCTTCAAAATGAATAAAAACAGTAAAATGTAGGGCCAGACCGATATTATCGGCCGATATTAGGCATTTTCCAAACGGCAGTTATAATGGCCGATAAATGAATATTTCAAAAATAAAATAAAAACGGATGAAACATGCTTGAACCATGTCATGAGTGTTGTAGTTGTATAGTTTGTCCACCAGAGGGCACTCTACACCGTTCCTGTTGGCAACACTCGTTGAGTTGGTCACGATACATACATTGCTTGAATAACAATTAAAAGATCATCACCATCAGTTCTCTAAACTCAAATAAGCATGACAAAATTTGTGACTATCATGTCCAGTTTAAAATAAATAAAATATCGGCCGATATATCGGATTTTAAAACCCAAAAATATTTGTATCGGCCTTCAAAATCCTTTATCGGTCGGGCTCTAGTAAAATGCAATCTCAGAATTTTACGCAAAACTTTTATAATTAACTAATAAATTATACTTTGTGTATTTAATCTCACTTTATTAACCAATGTCTGCTGCTGACCCTAAATGATCTAATTCAACCATACTACTAAACAAAAGTTACTTCAGATTAGATTTAGAAATGAGTGTTGAACTTGAATCCGGAATAACAGCAAATATGAGGAAATCTGTGTTTTCCTCAGCCTGAGGCTTATTCATTTCACTTTTGATGTGAAAGGGCCTTAACATTTGCCCAAAATGTATTTTTTTTTTTTTGCTTGTTGTAAAATAAAAGAAAACAAGCAAGCTCAGCCGAGGTGAGAAAGTAATGCAAAAGCAATGTAACATTACTTTTCATAAAGTAAGTAATGCAATATTACTTTTTTTAAAATGCAATATTGTAAAAATACTTTCCCCAGCACTGTTCCTGACTGCATTCGGTTCTGCATTTTGAGCTCTGATTTGCCAGAAAACAGCTGGTGTTTCTGTGTGAAGGCCGATGCTGCAGTTGTAATCATGTGACTCAGATTCATAATGAGATCCCGTTATTTAAAGCTCCCAGCGGCAACTCCCCCCTCCTCTCAGATCTCCCAGAGTGCTGTTTGTGTCTCTGCTCCTCAGCCCAGTTTCAACCTTCTGTTTGTGCACCACCTTCCCACACACCGCGACACCAAAGCTGTGGCCAACCGGCTCCAGCGCCTCTCCAATAACTGTGGAGGGAAGGTGTTGGGAGTGTCCGGCGGCTGCGCTGTGCTCCGGTTCGCTAGTGCCAGCGCGGCCGAACGCGCGCGCAAGCGCATGGAGAACGAAGACGTCCTGGGCCAGCGCATCGTGGTGTCGTTCTCTCCCGACGGCCCGGAGGAGGAAGAGGAGCGCCGACTCTTCCTCCCCGTGGAGAAGCAACGCTCGCCCCGTCGCCGGGCGTCACGGTCGAGAAGCCACGCCCCCGAGCGCCCCTATAGCCCCAGGAAAGCAGGCCACGCCTCCTCGTGCAGCCCTGTGACGAAGCCCCGCCCCCAGGTCAGCTGTGTTCCCGCCTCTGCCCCGCCTCCTCCTCATCATCCTCCAATCGCACGCTTCCTCTCGTTCTCATTGTGCCTGTTCCTCCGCTTGACCTGCTTGCTCCTCCCATCATCATACACACTCACACTCCCTCTCACTCGTTCACACACACACACACACTCTCACTGACACAAATACTCACATTCTCTCATACACATGCGCTCATGCACACTCTCTCTTTCGCACACACTCTCAGACATACGTGCACTCTAGCGCGCACACTACGGCTGGGTATTGACTCAAATTTCACAATTCGATTCGATTTCGATTCAATATCGATTATTTTGGATATCAGTTACAATAAATGGCCATTTTTCTTAAGGAAATCAAATCTCGTAACTAATGCTGTAAACTATGGGAGTCTAGTTGGGCTTCATTAGCCTAATATGAAGGTAATAATGAACTGTTTTGTAGCTATACAAACACTTAAATTACACTTTTATTTAGTTTTATAATAAGAAGATTATATGAAATGTAAACATTTAAATGGTGGCGGTCATAAAAACTTGCCAGATTTATTCAAATATGCATTAAATATTGCAGAACATTAAGATTATAATGCATATGTAATATGGTGTATATATTTAGCAAAATGCTCCTCTCTAGAGTTATTTTTTCTAGCTGACTAACGAGTTTATGTGGGTTTTCTGAGGTAAATATGACGATGACATTGATTACAAGCTGTTTAACTGACGTCTTTCCACGGTTGAAGTGCTGATTTAGTGAATCAATGTGACATGATCCGGATTTGGATAAGTTGTACTGTATCTTTAACACACTTTCAGATGCTCATTCATGTTTATTTGGCGCTGTGACTGGTATTATTAAGCCGGAAGAGAGATCAGCGCTGCTGCTTCTCCAGAGCGATCTCACGCCACAGCGACAAAACGCTATTTATGTTTTTGAATTTCTAAAGAAAATGGACGTAATTTGAAAATTGAGACTTTGTTTCATATCAATAGTAACAAAGGACAAAGATTATTGTGATTTATTGGATGCGCGCAGCCGCGATACAATGTCCCATTCATTCAAATGAAACAGGATGACTAATCGATTCTTGAGATTTAAGAATCGATATCGGTTCGTAAAAATGAGAATCGATTAATATCGAGAAATCAATATTTATTACCCAGCCCTAGCGCACACACCAACACACGTGCTCTCACACACACACACACACACTTTCTCAACCGTTCACAAACACAATCTCTCATCTACGCAAATACTTTCCGCGCACTCTCGCGTACACTCACACACATTTGCATACACTCACAGCCACGCCCCCTGAGGAAAGCTGGCCACGCCTCTTCGTGCAGCTCTGTGACGAAGCCCCGCCCCCAGGTCGGCTGTGTTCCCGCCTCCTCCTCATCATCCTCCAATCGCACGCTTCCCCTCATTCTCATTGTGCCTGTGCTGCGCTTGACCTGCTTGTGCTGCTCGTGTGCCGCTGCTCTGTGACGCCGGGATGCTTTACGTGAGACTCCATCTTCCTCTGTCCTCGTCTGTCCTCCCCGTCACTTTCCTGTCTTCCGCCTCATTGGGAATCGGCTGTGTGTTCGCATGTTGTGAAGTTAGTGCTGTGTGTGTGTGTGTGTTTGCTGCAGATTGTGTGCGGAGCAGCCCGACCTGTGAGCGCCTCGCCTCAGAGTCACACACTCCTGCCGGCAGCCGGAAAACCTGCAGAGCAGCAGCGCAGCCGGAGGTACCCCACACACACACACACACACACACACACACACTTCACTAGTGTTCATCATGTGATTGTGAAAGCTTTATATTTGCAGGGTTTGATTTAGACAAATCATTGATGTTTTTAAAGGGATAGTTCACCAAAAATGAAAATTCTCATTCCAAACCCATAAAACTTTAGTTTATTGTTGAAACAAATTAAATCTGTTCTTAATTAACCCTCTGATGGTCCTCGGTCACTTCTGACCGAATAATTTTCTGTTTTGAATTATTAAAAATCACAGCTTCATCAGAAGGTTATTAAAGGGGTAATAAATCCCACCCCGCAGTAAAGGGGTGACACTCTACATCAAGAGTGCAAAAAATTTACACCCACCCACACACGCACACATACAAACACACTTTTATACACATACACACCAATAAATTCAGATTACAAAAAATCTGTTTTGAATTTTTAAAAATCACAGCTTCATCTGAATGTTATGAAACTTGGTGACATTTCTGGCATTGGGTATGTGAACACACAAAAAAAATTGAGTTCATGATCCGAGCATGCTATGTGGTCGTAAAAAAAAGTTAGTCACGATTTTGGTCTTTGGTTAAAAATGACCTCCATAGGAAATGAATGGGAAATTGACAAAAACACAAAAATTCACAATTTTTTTTTTTTTTTTTTTTAATAAGAAAGTTTTTGAGATTGTTTCAATTATATATTCAAATCCACCAAAAAAAAAAAATGTGTTCATCAACATCTGGGGAATTCACATGCTTCTCCATAGAGAGCTGTACATGCCATCTAGTGGTTACACCATGACTCTACGCTTTTTCTCTATACTGTAACCAGATGGTGCTAATTTTCTTCAAAAAATATTTTTTTTCTGAAGGCCTAGACTCTATATTAAACTAAAATACTGCATTGATATATATTTTTTTAAATAATATATATATATATTTCCATTGAAAAAATAGACCATAAATATTGCATAAATATTAATAAATTCAATCAAATGGTCTCAAAATACTAAATTAAAAAGAATAAATATTATAGAACAAAAATAAATTGCATTGGTTTTACGGGGATGGAAGAAGTTTAATTTTTAGGCCTCCAGTCACTTCTGACCGGGAAGGCCCAGGACATGACTCATAAAGGAAGAGCATCAGAGGGTTAAATCTGAGAAGTCTACAATGGAGGGTTGCGTTTAAATATCAGATTATGTTCAATTGTGTTTTAGTTCTTATGAGTTTTGAGTGATATGATATTTGTGTGTGTGTGTGTGTGAAGGCGAGATTCTCCCGGGCAGCCGTTTCAGGTCAGCACTCCCTCAGCATTCAGCAAACTGAGTTTACAGCGGAGCTTCAGTCCCATGATGCTCTCTCAGAGTTCGTGGTCGTCACGGTAAGCGAACTGCAAGATTATCAAAGGCTTCATAAAACACTCTTGCGTTCTCGTCACGTGTGTGTGTGTTGGTCTCTGGTCTTTTTAGGAGTGTGTCCCCCTGCCTGTCCAACCGCTCGTCTCCGCTGAGCGCACCGTCCCCCGACGGCCAATCAGAGCCCTTCTCTGACGGAGCGGACGTTCAGGTCACGAACCTCGACTACAGAATGTCACGCAAGGACCTCCAGCAAATCCTGCGAGACGCTTTTGCTAAACACGGCAGAGTGAGTCGCGTCTCACACACATTCAAAACGAGAGTGTGTGTTTATATTTGATTTATGAGGACATATGAATCCTCATATTTCAAATGCCTTTAAAAACAAAGTGTTTTATTGATTTAAAAATGCATAGTTTTCTGTGATGGGTAGGGTTAGTGTGTGTGTGAGTGTGAGATGGGTTGGTTTAAGGGTAGGTTTAGGGTGTGTGTGATTGGTAGGGGTAGTGTGTGGTTTAGGTTTATTTTATTTTATTTATTTAGATGGGAAAATGCATATTAATGAACTTACAAGCATAGTCGAACGTAATTACGCCGGATTTAGCACAATGCTAATTTCCATCCGTTGTCCCCTAACACAGACAAATACAATCCTAAAACAAAAACAGACACACAATATGCATATCAACAAAACACATGTGAAATTAAAAAAAATATAGATATAAATAAATAAATTAAGAATAGTAATAATCATAAAAGTTCCTATAAGCCTATCTTATAGAGAATGTATTGTAGTGCCCATTACAAAAACTCCTAAACATCATTCTAAGATGCTTATTATAAATATTTAAAATTAAAATTAAAAATAAATCTACCTATCAAATTCAACCTTTATACTAAATGATTACATTTTTGATTTGGTTAAGGGGTTGTGTGTGTGATGGGAAGGTTAAGGGGTTGTGTGTGTGTGTTTGTTAGGTTCAGGGGTCGGGTTAGAGTAGGGGAATAGAATATACAGTTTGTACAGTAAAAAGTAAAACCAAGTATTTTTATTATTTATTTAATCAATTATTAATAAAAAATAAAACCAAAAATAAAAACCAATACAGCTACGGAATTTCTTCACGTACATCAAACCTGTGTGTGTGTGTGTGTGTAGGTGAAGAGCGTTGATCTGAGTCCTCACACGGACTATCAGCTGAAGGCGCGGGTCCACATGAGCTCCCTCCAGCAGGCCATCGGCGCCGTCTCTCTTCTGCACCGCTATAAGATCGGCAGCAAGAGGATTCATGTGTCGCTCGTCACTGGAGCCAGTAACAAATCTCTCGCCTCCCTCAGGTGCGCATGTGACGGGTCAAACTCTCATATCACAACAATCCCAGAAGCTTTTATCATGGTGTTCTCACTGCATTGGATTTAAAGTCTTGTCCCCCTAGCAGTATATCAATATTCAAGCGGGAAAACCTGTTCAAGTAGAGCTCTAAAACAAAAAGAATATAAAGTACACAGACAATTAAAGAGTCAGAACATTTTCAGTCAATATCTAGGGCATGTTTTAGTCAAGAATATGTAAACAAATATTTGTTGCTGTGTTGAAGCAAATACACACATCTGAACGGTGTGAAACATTTAATGTTCAGAAACAGGAAGTAGTGCCGTCTGCTTTGTTTACTGGGGTAACAGATGCATTTCTGTTGGAGAGCGCGACCGATGAAGGATTTTGAAGGCCGATACCGATACAAATATTTGTTGGTTTTAAAATCCGATATTCCCTTATATCGGCCGATATTTTCTTTTTATTATTATATATTATTTTTTTCTATTTTTTTCCAGAAACATGCAACACAACATTAACAGATTTCCCTAACATTAGTTATTTGTAGTTATTTATGAGTTTTAACTAAAATAATATGATCATGCATTTTTAAAAAGAAACTTGTTTCTTTTATTGTCACAACAGAGCAGAGGAACATCAAAATATATTAAAGTTCTGATAAATAAAATAATTAAAGCTGCAAGCAGCATTTATCGGTGTTCAAGCAGTTAAGGCCTTTAAGCACAAAAGCATCAAAAGGCATTCAATTTTATTTAACATGCATTTATCCACCGACATAATAGATGTAAAACACCATTTACAATCAATACAGGCAATTTAACATTGGAAATACATGGTTTTAAAGCTTTTTAACAGTTATAGCGCCACCTATGGTCCGATCTCCATGAAACTGTGCATGCTTCTTCGGCATGTTATGAGACGTATGCTCTTCAATTTTTGTGAAATTCTGAGTTTTCCTTTAGGATTTATATGATTCTGAGTTGCATTTTGTCCCACCCCTTTTGTAAACGACCCTGTTATAGCCAATCAAAAGCAAAATTTCGACTGGTTTGGTTCCAATCGGTCTCATACTCTGATCGGTTCTCCTCAATCTGACAAAGTTTCAGAGCTCCAGTTCTTACGGTTTTGGCTGCACGATGCGTTTTAGGGGATTTTTTTTTTCTTTCTAGCAAATACAATAGGTTTTCCTGCTTGAACACCTAATAATTAGTCCCTACATTGCCTTATAAGCTACCTGCAACCTGGATCAGCAGGATGTGTGGCGCGTTATAATCGAGTGTTGCCAGCAGGAACGGTGTAGAGTGCCCTCTGGTGGACAAACTATACAACTCCAACACTCATGACATGGTTGAAGCATGTTTCATCCGTTTTTATTTTATTTTTGAAATATTCATTTATGGGCCATTATAACTGCCGATACCGATAGTTTGAAAAATGCCTAATATCGGCCGATATATCGGTCTGACTCTATTCTGTTGTTACGTTTTCTCCTGTCAGAGAGTGAGTGTGCATTTTCATTCAGTCTCTTCGATGCAGTGTTGGACATTTTATCTGGTTAATGGGGGAAAAATTATAAATGCATTTTTTTTTTTTTTAATTAAAAAATCACTTTTTTAAGTGCAATTTCATGCATGTTCATATCGTGATGTACCGTATATCTGTCTAGCCTCTGTGTTGTGTTTGTTTCTCAGCTCTGAGATCATCAGTATCCTCCAGGACGCTCCAGCAAACTGCCTGCATCTCTACAAGTTCACCGAGACCTACGAGAGGAAGTGAGTGACCTATTCAATTCACATTTATTTATATTGCACTTCACACGATACACATCGTTTCAAAGCAGCTTTACAGAAAATGCACGAGTCCTCATTACTATTCAGAGGAAAAACCCTAACGATTATGAATGCTTGATGCTTACGGCTCATTATGCCAAGACATTGCGTTCAGGTCGTGTTCACAGTCTGTGAGTGTGTTCAGTTTAAGCTGATCGTTGAGTGTGTCCCGGCTTTGGTTATGCATTTCAGAAAAGTACATATAACGTTTAGCTAAAAATGTAATAATTTAAGGCAGAAACAGCGAGTAATGAATGTTTGTTAACTTGCCTGTGTGTGTGTGACTGCAGGTTTGGTCATAAGCTGGTGGTGAGTGACTTGTACCGCTTGCCGGAGCTGGTGTGTGTGCGCGAGCAGGGCGGCGGGCGGCTGGTGTGTTTGCTGTCCAGCACTCAGGCCCGGCAGAGTCCGCTCGGATCCGCACACTCTCACGACAGCTCCAACACGGCCAGCCCGGTCCTGTTCGAGGAGCTGGAGTACCACGAGCCCGTCTGCAGACGCCACTGCGCTCAGCAGGACTTCAGGTGAACACACACACACACACACGCGTGTGCAGGGCTCCTACAGAGGCAAACATTGATAGGTTTAAGTCGAAATTAAAAACAAAAATAAAGATAGTTTAAATAAAGATTGCTTGCTAATGCCAACCTAATTATTATTAGGGTTTTCACGTAGGGATGGGCAACGATTAATCGCATCCAAAATAAAAGTTTGTGTTTACATAATATATGTGTGTTTAGTGTGTATAATTAATTTGTATATATAAATACCCACACATGTATGTGTATATTTAAGAAAAATGTGTTATTAATTTATCAAATATTTATATTTATATATAATATTAATTATGTGTAAATATATATAAAGTATATACATGCAAATATACGCATGCATGTGTGTGTATTTATATATACAAATTAATGATACACACTACACACACATATATTATGTAAACACAAACTTTTATTTTGGATGCGATTAATCGTTGCCCATCCCTAGATATGAGTTTGACTGAAATTTAAGTCCTGAAAAACCTTTGAACAGCCATATTTATGAAAATGTACAATCATTTAAGTGATTTTCGTGCTTAATTTTATTGACAAAACAATCGCAAAATGACGCTGCAACCCGTCTGATACAGATATAGAGGCATTTCTCATGACTATGAGTGTGATATTGCTCAACTATCCAAGTATACAGATTTCATTTGTCAGGTCAATCATATATTGAGAAAAAAGTCAGTTAGTTTATCTGTAGCCGTGTTTCCATTAGCCTTCAATTTGCGCAAAATGAAAATGCGCACAACGGAAACATGTCAATTTCGCAAAAACTCCTTTTTATTGCAACACTTTTTCAGGCAATTCGAAAAGAAATATTGTGCAAAACTGCGATGGAAATAGTTTTTGCGCATTTACAGTCACCTGACTTAGACGCGGTGTGTTTAAACAGAAGGCGAGAGCTTCTGAGTCACGAGCTCGAGCAGAAATGAGAAACTTTTCTTGCCATTAATGCTTGGATAACACACACACACACACACACTCATACACGTCTCCTTCCATTAATATTAATAATGTGTTGTGCGATGGCTCTGAGATATATAAACCTACCAGCATCCGTCGCCGTGATGTTTGAAATGACTTATCGCGAGAGGAATAAATGCTGTTTTAGTCGCATAACATCGGATAATGGAGACGCCGTCATTTTGCAGTAATTTACCAATACAGATCGGCACAAAATTTTTGCAATTTTTTCTTAATATCGATAAAGTATCCGCAGTCTATTGGTTCATTTTTATCTGTTCACTTTCTTCAGAATTTGAAGGTAATAAAGATATTGTTTGATTACTTTAGTGAGATCTCTGATTGAATTCCTTAAACCAAAAAGTAGTGCTTAAAGTGTGTGTACGAACCTCGTGTGTACTCGCGTCTTCATCCGGGTTTAGCAGTGACGAACCGGACCGTTTCTCCTCTGGTTTCAGTGAATCTGACTTCGATCCGGATTCGTACATGATCCCGTTTGTTCTGGTGTCCCTGAAGGTCCTGGCGGCTCACGTCCACGGGTTACTGCAGAGTCACGAGGGCACTGTGCCTCTTCTCAGGTGACACACACACACACACACACACACACACTCCTGCTGTTATCTCGTTGGTCTGGTCTGGTGTCTTTTGCATGTGTGACTGTTTCCTGTCTGCACACAGTTTCCCAGAATGCTACGCTGCAGAGTTCGGTGCGTTGGGCGTTGCGGAGGAGGGCGGGCTGGAGGGAAGCGTCCCGCTGGAGCATCTCATCACCTGCATCCCAGGAGTCACCATAGTAACGGCACAGAACGGCTTCAAAGTCATCAAGTGGATTCACAACAAACCCCCACCGCACAATGCAGGTGTGTGTGTGTGTGTGTGTGTGTGTGTGTGTGTGTGTGAATTGAAAGGGTACCAATTATGCAAAATTCACTTTATAATATTAAAATAATGATGTGCACCAATAAATAATTTACAATAAACACTGCACTATTGCATAAAATTTTTTTTGTCATAATTATTGCATTAATACTAATTATACATTTTTTTTTTATTTTTGAAATTTTCTCAAAACACCAAAAATATTATAAAAAACGAGTAAAAAAAAATAAATCTTTTTTTTGTTTTGTTTATATGAATCCTGGCCTTTGGGTCCATTTGGACCCGAACACCCCGAGTGTGACTCTGAAACGAACAACCCCAGAGGGTTAATTGTCTTGCCGTAGCATTAGTCACATACTCATCTGAAGTTAATGAAGTGCATAAGGGGAAAAGCCTGTGTGTGTGTGTGTGTGTGTGCTCAGATCCGTGGCTGCAGCGCAGTAAGAGTCCGGTTGGGAATCCACAGCTGATCCAGTTCAGCCGAGAGATGGTGGATCTCATGAAGAACCAGCCGTCCTGTTTGATGCCCGTCACCAAGTTCATTCCAGCGTATCACCATCATTTCGCCAAGCAGTGCCGCGTGTCGGACTACGGGTACTCCAAACTGCTGGAGCTGCTGGAGGCCGTTCCTCACGTGCTGCAGGTCTGTGAACACAAGCTCACGTGTAGCAATGTCAAATTGTGAATTTAAAGTCGTCATGAAACGGAAGTTGCGCTAGTCTTTTCTTCTCTATTGTGTCGAGTGAATCGCTTCTGGAACAAGAACAAATGTGGGCGGGGCTTGATTGTGTCTGTGAGGAATTGATTGGATGGTTGTGGTTTGCCATTGGCTGATCTCATGTGAGTGACGGGTTATAGCCCCGCCCTCGTCATCGGAGAAGAGAATGAGCCGCAAGATAAATTTAGAAACAATGTGCATGAATAAATCATTTATAATAAATTCCATTTAAAGGTGCTGTATGTAACTTTTTCACTCTTACTAAAGCATAAAAATACCATTATATGTTGGTAGATATTTAGGAAACATTCTAAGTTCACCTGAAAAACACTTCTACTGCCAGTTATTTTATCTCACTGAAATGTGTCCGTGTTGGAATGTCTGTTTTTGTTTTAGTCTGTGACTCCGCCCACTGCCAATTCACCCAATAGTATTTTGCCACCGATGGTATTTTTGGGATTCCAGTTGGCAGAGGAAACAGTGTATTGCAGTCGGCCTTATAAATAGCTATGAACGAGAGCATATTAAAACACGATCTCAGATATTTTGAATTTGAACTGCAGTACCTATTTCGACCACTAGCTGTCAATCTTACAGACTGCACCTTTAAAATAGAATTGTGCATATTGATTTCATGCTGACTTTAATTCTTTTGTGTGTGTGTGTAGATTCTGGGTTTAGGCTCCAAGCGTTTGTTGACGTTGACTCATCGCGCGCAGATCAAGCGCTTCACTCAAGACCTGCTGAAGCTGCTGAAGTTTCAGGCCAGTAAACAGGTGGTGATCGGGGACTTCGCTCAGGCCTATCACTGGTGAGATCTCTCTTTGCTTCTTAAAGGGATAGTTCACCATGAAATGAAAATTAGCCCATGATTTACTCACCTTCAAATCATCCTAGGTGTGTATGACACTCTTCTTTCAGACGAATACAATCGGAGTTATATTAAATGTCCTGGCTCTTCCAAGCTTTATAATGGCAGTCATTGGCCATTTCTGTTTTGAAGTCCATAAGTGCATCCGTCCATCATAAAGTGCACCTATTCATCATAAAAGTACATCTATCCATCATAAAAGTGCATCTTTCCATCATAAAAGTGCATCTGTCCATCATAAAAGTGCATCCGTCCATCATAAAAGTGCATCCGTCCATCATAAAAGTGCATCCGTCCATCATAAAAGTGCGTCCGTCCATCATAAAAGTGCGTCCGTCCATCATAAAAGTGCGTCCGTCCATCATAAAAGTGCATCCGTCCATCATAAATGTGCGTCTGTCCATCATAAAAGTGCGTCCGTCCATCATAAAAGTGCATCTGTCCATCATAAAAGTGCATCTATCCATCATAAAAGTGCATCTATCATCATAAAAGTGCATCCGTCCATCATAAAAGTGCATCATAAAAGTGCATCCGTCCATCATAAAAGTGCATCCGTCCATCATAAAAGTGCATCCGTCCATCATAAAAGTGCGTCCGTCCATCATAAAAGTGCATCTGTCCATCATAAAAGTGCATCCGTCCATCATAAAAGTGCATCTATCATCATAAAAGTGCATCTATCATCATAAAAGTGCATCCGTCCATCATAAAAGTGCATCCGTCCATCATAAAAGTGCATCTATCATCATAAAAGTGCATCTATCATCATAAAAGTGCATCTATCATCATAAAAGTGCATCCGTCCATCATAAAAGTGCATCTGTCCATCATAAAAGTGCATCTATCCATCATAAAAGTGCTCCACATGACTCTGGCGGTTAATGGAGAGCTTCTGAAGCGACGAGTTTTTGTATGAAAAAATCTATATTTAACATGTTGTAAAGTAAAATTCTAGCTTATGGCCAAACACAGTCTCTACAGACAGACTTTTATTTATATATATTATATTTTTTAATATAACTCTGATTGTATTCGTCTGAAAGAAGCATGTCATATACATCTAGGATGACTTGAAGGTGAGTAAGTCATTTTTGGGTGAACTATTCCTTTAAGCATTAGGTGTAACCTCTTCCTCCTGATCTCTGTGTGTGTGTCAGGTGTTTCTCCAGGAACTGGCAGGTGATGGATTATGGGATGTGTGATCTGATGGACCTGTTAGCTGAGATTCCAGACACGACCATCACTGTCACTCAGCAGGACTGCGACACGCTCATCTCTGTTCCCAAAAGAGGTGAAACTGCCTCGAATGCATGAACCCCTGACACAGATGCAAGATTACAGCGTTGTGTTTCCAATGTTCCAGTTGTGAATTTAACTTAAAGGGGTGGTTGAATATGATTTCACTTTTCTAACTCTAGTTAGTGTTGCTTTTTGAGCATCAACAGCATCTGCAAATTTACAACGTTCAAAGCAAAGGGAGAAATTTACTTTTAAAGAAATTGCTTTTTAAGGACTACAACAAAAGGCTGGTAGGGACAACGGATTAGTGACATCATGAACCCTAAAATTTACATAAACCCCGCCCCCGGGAAACGATTTATAGATTATCAAGACAGAATATGCTAATCAGTGACTAGAAGATAACTACACAAAAGCTACATAAATTCATCAACTAACCATTCTCCATCTTTCTGACTTCGGTCTGAACATAAAAGGCTAAAAGTTTTGGGAATTTTTAGTGCGTGTGTGAGGTAAAACGACAAGAGCTCCGCCCCCTATCCCGGAGCGGCAGCAGCTCATTTGCATTTAAAGGGACAGACAAAAACAGTGCGTTTTTGCTCACTCTCAAAAAGTGACAACTTAAACATGCTTTATAAAAATATCTGTCGGGTATTTCGAGTTAAAACTTCACACACACACGTTTGGGACATCAGAGGCTTATTTTACATCTTGTGAAAAGGGCATTATACCACCCCTTTAGGCACAAAAGTGGAATATCGCATAAAACGTTTGCGAATAAAGCACCGTTTCCATACCATGTGTTCAAGAGAACAAAATCATCACTTCCTGGGAAATTGGTGCAAATAATCGGTAATAAAAGTAAGTTTCTGGAGGGATAAATAATTGTGTCAGAGTGTCAGACGAAACACAATAAACGCTGTCATTTAGTATACACGGTTCTATAAATATGCAAATGAGCCCCGCCTCCACTCACTAACACGAGCATAAAACACCACATAGACTTATTAAAAGACATAACATAAGACATATCATTAAAAGCTTAATTTTCACCTCAGGGTGAAATCAAGTAGGGAGGCTAACGATTAATCGATTGATTGTCGATAATATCTTAATTGATAAAACATCGATTTCTAATTAGCATGGTTTATTTCTGCTCAACCACGAAACTTTAAGAAAATTAAGTGTTAGGTTTGAGACTATGTTCAGTGAAATTGTCAATTACAAACATTGCGACTACGCCCAAAAAAAATAGGCGTAGTGTCCGTGACTTCAGTAATGTTTCTGAAGAGCGTTTTTGAAGCCCAAAGTGGGCGGAGCCGGCCGTCGCCATCTTGGCAGCGCGTCACTCCCGGATAAACGAAAATGGGCAAAGAGGCGGATTAGCTGAGGTGACGTCACTGCTAGCCGTTTGTCTGCTAGTGTTAGCATCAGTGGCAATCCACCTGTCACTTAATTATGCAGAACTTGAAGGCTTAATATAATTTAAACGGATGAGTTATAGAAATATTCACCCCGTCACAGTCACACCCCGTCATGAAGGGCAAAATTAGCGATATAGACAAACCACTTTTCGCACCAGACTGTAAACATGTTTTATTCTGCTGTAAAGTTGGGCATTTTAACATGCGGGTCTATGGGAGTGAGTCTCTTCTGCAGCGCCTCTAGTGGCCAGTGGAGGAACTGCAGGTTAACTCACCCAGTGTTGGATTAAAAATAAATACTAATTACGAGCTTAATCGCATCAATTACTCAAAGTAGTGTTTACATAAGGGAAACTTTAATCACAATGTCATTGTAATTGCATCATGACGGTTCGTGTAACAGTGCTGTCGTCTGGTCCCCCAGAACGCACGCCCGAGGAGGTGGAACGCACACGGCAGTTTGGGAAGGAGGTTGTGGACCTTCTGAGACACCAGCCTCACTTCCGGATGCCCTTCAGCAAGTTCATCCCCACGTATCACCACCACTTCGGACGCCAGTGCAAACTCTCCTACTACGGCTTCACCAAACTCATGGAGCTGTTCGAGGCCATTCCTGACATTCTTCTGGTCGGTACAAACGCAGACGTGAAGGTGCTCGATATAGGGCTGCACGATTAATCGCAGTTTACATTTGGCTTACCACGATTATGAAATCGCAAAGGCTGCGGTTTATTTATTTAATTTGTATGCGTAGTAGGGCTGGGTATTGGCGCAGATTTCAGAATTCGATTTCAATTCACAAGCTTACAATTCGATTCGATTTCGATTCAATATCGATTATTTTGGATATCAGTTACAATAAATGGCCATTTTTCTCAAGGAAATCAAATCTCTGAACTAATGCTGTAAACTATGGGAGTCTAGTTGGGCTTCATTAGCCTAATATGAAGGTAATAATGAACTGTTTTGTAGCTATACAAACACTTAAACTACACTTTTATTTAGTTTTATAATAGAAAGATTATATGAAACAAACATTTAAATGGTGGCTGTCATAAAAACTTGCCAGATTTATTCAAATATGCATTAAATATTGAAGAACATTAAGATTATAATGCATATGTAATATGGTGTATATATTTAGCAAAATGCTCCTCTCTAGAGTTATTTTTTCTAGCTGACTAACGAGTTTATGTGGGTTTTCTGAGGTAAATATGACGATACATTGATTACAAGCTGTTTAACTGACGTCTTTCCACGGTTGAAACGCTGATTGAGCGAATCAATGTGACATGATCCGGATTTGGATAAGTTGTACTCGATCTTTAACACACTTTCAGATGCTCATTCATGTTTATTTGGCGCTGTGACTGGTATTATTAAGCCGGAAGAGAGATCAGCGCTGCTGCTTCTCCAGAGCGATCTCACGCCACAGCGACAAAACGCTATTTATGTTTTTGAATATCTAAAGAAAATGGACGGAATTTGAAAATTGAGACTTTGTTTCATATCAATAGTAACAAAGGACAAAGATTATTGTGAGTTTTTTAGATGCGCGCAGCCACGATACAATGTCCCATTCATTCAAATGAAACAGGAAGACTAATCGATTCTTGAGATTTAAGAATCGATATCGGTTCGTAAAAATTAGAATCGATTAATATCGAGAAATCAATATTTTTTTACCCAGTTCAAATGCGTAGTTTGTCATTGTACGGCTCCGTAAACGCTGCTCCATCTGAAAGCACTGTGAGATAAAGGGGATTTGAAAAGGCAAACATGAGGAGCATTTATGAACCTCTTGTCCAACAAAAGACAACATTAGATAACATGCTTTTACTCCAAACTCACTTCATCAGGACAAGGCGTTTCAATCTTCTGTTTATTCAGAGATGGTGATCGAGGTTTCCTGGAATGATGTGTGTTGTCTTCTGCGGGTCATAATTGGTGTGTGTGTGATGCCCTCTAGTGTTTATATGGATGTGTGCAGGGTGTTCGCGGGGTTTTAATCAAAATTGTCAAATTTAAGGCCATTAAAAGTGTTAAATGTAGTCTGAGAGGTATTATTTTTTTCAGACTATCAGGTGTCCTATTCTGATTGAAACTCTATCCTGTGTTCGCGTTAGTCCGTTTAAATATGTAAAGTGGGAAACAGCTTTGCGATTGATAGAGCTCTAGATTTGACAAAAATTCAGGGGTATATTTTTACCGACTGCTATAGAAAGAGGAGCAAATGGATCGCTGCATATCATAGAAACAACTGGACTCCAGTCAGCGAAAGGTGGATTTGCAGTTAACATTTTGTGTAAATATGCTGAATTTAAGGGTAAATCCATACCCATATATTTTGTATTGTTATATATATATATATGAAGAGTTCAGATGCAAAAGCCTCTAAATGCCATTTGAAATTTTCTTCTTTAATGATGATTTTTATCAAGCTTGTATATTTAAGTTCAGTGATTTCACTTAAATGGCAATGATAATTACCTATTAATTGTTATTTAAGTGAAATTACTGAACTTAAATATGCAAGTTTGATAAAAATCATCATTAAAGAAGAACATTTCAAATGGCATTTAGAGGCTTTTGCATCTGAACTCTTCATATATATATATATATATATTGCTCAAAAAAATAAAGGGAACACTTAAACAACACTTAAAGTAAAACAAGAAAAAAGTATTTAATAAGATTATTTCATTCATTCAGATCTATGATGTGTTATTTTAGTTTTTTTGAGCAGTGTATATTAACAACTCATCAATTAAATATTTATCATTGCATATTCTGCATTATTGGATGTTTTTTAATAAACACTGATCATATGCGATCCTCTAAACATAAAAATGGAATGCGTGCTCTAAATCTATTAATTTTTGTATGTTATAAATTATAAAATGTCAAAATCTGTGTAAGTAATAGAAAGGTCGCTGATTAACACTTGCAATTCAGTGTCGTGATGGTTTTAAAAAAAAATTCTGAAGGTAGTAAAAAAGGTATTAAAAAGTAGTAAATTTATCTTATGGACTGCTCAGGGTGTCCGCGGGGGTTTTAAAAAGTGATAAATTTAAAACTAATAAAATATATATAATAATTAATTATATATAAAACAATTACTGATAAATTTAACTTAAGGATGACTGTATATACCCTGTTGCTGTATAAACCCTGGTGTGGTGTGTGAGCCGCCCTCTTGTGTTCACTCACTACCAATCAGCCGCTGCACTGACAAACTGCGCATAAAATAATCGTAGACTGGCAAATCGCGTGCGGTTTTATTGTACAGTCTTAGTGATGGAGCAGTCGGCGGGAGTCTTTATCTCTCTCTCTCTCTCAGGTGTTGGAGTGCGGAGAGGAGCGTCTGCTAGCGCTGACGGAGGTGGAGTGTGTGAAAGCACTAGCGGCTCAGCTGGTGAAGCTGCTTCGAGCTCAGAGAGACTCAGGACTTCCTGTCAATCAGCTGCTGTGCGAATACAACAAGACGTTCGGCTACAGCCTCCGCCTGCAGGATTACGACTCCGACACGCTACCCGTCCTGCTCAGCAAGCTCTGCCATGTAGTGAAGGTACACGGGCAAGGTCTCTAAACTCAAGGCAAAGTTCTGTGTTTAGCAGGAGGGTTGGGTATCGTGTGAACTTTAACCCTTGTGCATCCTTATGGACATTTTTGTCCTTTTCAGTTTTGTTTTTTTGATCACTTTGCCTGTGTTGAAGCTAACTGCAAAAAAATTGCCACAGGTGTGTATTTTTATTGGAATTTTACTATTTCACTGTCATTTTCTTCAAAAAAATATTTGTTTGCATTAGGTACAAAAAATCCTCCCTCTCAGCGCCTTTTGGACAAAAATGTCCCCATTGAAACTGCCATTTTTAATCCCCGGTTCAGTTAACTATAAAATTATGCAATCTTTGTTAAGAGGCTTTCATTCTGATGGCAAGGCTTCAAAATTTTATTTTTTACTATTTTTTATCAGATGGTGCCATTTTTTTTAAGTTTGGCCTATAAAACAAATATGGCTTTATTCCTGTTTTCTGGTTCGGCATACTACAGAGCCAACTGGATAAATTATGCAACAATATTTGTGTGGGTGTGTTGGTATGGATGTCAGAGTGTGCTTAGTATGTGTGTTATAAAAAAAATGTGTGTGTGTGTTTGTAATACTGAGAGAGAAAAACTGCAAATTCAAATGCAATCACTGTGAGCTCCAGTGGGGTTTTGCTGCCACCCAATGGGGAAAATATGTTACTACGCCCAAACAAACTGTTACCCAAAGCTCATTTTTTGAGATATCATCCTCAAATTTGGAACACAACCTATTTAGATTTATGGCTTTGATTTTATTTCAGTTTTGAGTTCAACCTGATTTATAAAATATATATTTTATATAAAATATTTTTTATGAATAATTTTCATAAACTTATACCTATATAACTTTTTTTTGGATTTACTTATTATTATTTTTTTTACTTCAGCAATAATCTGCAAAGGGTCTTCTTTAAAATGATACCAAACTTAAGTCTGTGCTCCAAAGCGTCACATTTTTATGACAGTTTTTTGGCATGGACATGTTTGTCCTCTTTTTACATATGTGTAACTTTTTTTAATTGATGCACAAGGGTTAATGGGATACTCCACTTTTTTAGGAAATAGGCTCATTTTACCACTCCCCCAAAATTAAACAGTTTAGTTTTACAGTTTTCGAATCCATTCAGCTGATTTTCTGATATTTCTTCTAAATATCAGAAAATCAGCTGAATGGATTAGAAAACGGTAAAACTAAACTGTTTAACTCTGGGTTTTCTGTGTTTTATCCAAAGTTTAACATTTTTCAACTCCCAGCGACCAGTAAAAACGCCGGGCGCTTCAGCGTGAAAAAAAAAAACCCGCTCAGCGCCTCGGTACGCTCATGGTGTTTTCAAAAACCGTGGCGCTCCCATTGAAAACAATTGAAAACATACGCCAGGCGCGTGGAAAAACGCTTTGGCAGACACACGGCCTAAGTATTCAGCAGATGTTTTTATGAATTTGCGCGATCGTTTGCTTCTGTCTTTCGCCAGTCTGTAAGTGTACACCTCAGATTTCTCCGTCTTCCTCTCCTCCAGGTGGTCGATGCTCCCGAAGGGAAGGAGGTACAGCTCATTAACAGGAAGTCCCTGCGTGCCTTGACGTCTCAGCTGCTGGCGCTGATGATGTCACTTCCTGAGGATCGTGATCATCTCGGAGTGGAGGAGCTGAGGCAGCAGTACGAGTTCGCTTACTCCACGCCGCTCAACCCCTGCGAGTACGGCTTCATCTCGCTCACCGAGCTCCTCAAGAGTCTGCCGTACCTGCTGCAGGTGCGAGCGCCACAAGAGCTTTAGCGACGAGCTTTAGCCTAGCCAATGTGTGTACGATACTTTTAATGTGCAGCAGAAGAGTAGGCAAGCTTTGAGACTTTAAACTTAGACGTTAAACTTAAACTTAGACTTTAAACTTCTTTAAAGTCCCCCTGTGGCGTAAATCCACATGTATGTAAAGAGTTTTATCTCTAAAAACTGTTTAGCGTATAATGCTAGTACTGGGGGCATTGACTAAGTAAAAAGAAATCGCTGGTTTATACCACTAACAAGGCTCAAAATAGCGCCACACTCACACAGTAACATAATGAGGATCCATACATGCAAAACGAAGCATTGAGAACTTTGTAAGAGTACATACTGTTTAACCCTCAGGTGCTCTTTGGTCATTTCTGACCAAAAAATTTTCTGTTTTGAAATTTTTTAAATCACAGCTTCATCTGAATGTTACGAAACTTGGTGACTTTTATGGCATTAGGGATGTGAATACACAAAAAAATTGAGGTCATGATCTGAGCATGCTAAGTCACACTTGTGGTCTTTGGTCAAAAATGACCCCCATAGGAAATGAATGGGAAATGGACAAAAACACAAAAATTCACAAATTTTTATTTGTTTATTTATTTTTTACTTTTTTTTATTTTTTATAAAAAAACGTTTTTGACATCGTTTCAACTATATATTCAAATCCACCCAAAAAAAAATGTGTTCATAAACATCTGGGGAATTCACATGCTTCTCCATAGAGAGCTGTACATGCCATCTAGTGGTTACACCATGATTCTACGCTTTTTCTCTATACTGTAACCAGATGGTGCTAATTTTCTTCAAAAAATATTTTTTTTCTGAAGACGTAGACTCTATATTAAACTAAAATACTGCATTAATAATTTTTTGAAAAATAATATATATATATATATATATATATATATATATATTTTTTTTTTTACATGCCAAAAATAGACCATAAATATTGCATAAATATTAATAAATTCAATCAAATTGTCTCAAAGTACTAAATTACAAAGAATAAATATTATAGAACAAAAATAAATTGCATTGGTTTTACTGGGATGGAGGAAATTTAATTTTTAGGTGTCCGGGAAGATAACAAGTGTGACTCAGAAACGAAGAGCACCTGATGGTTAGTAAGAAGATATCTTATGAAGACAGTTCACAGTAGAAAATAGTCTTGATAAGTCGATCCCCGAACGCCGTTCATACAGTTCAGATCACTCAGCACGGCGTTCGTGGTTTGACTTATCACGACTGTTTTCTAAGATGGCTCCTGTCTGTATACACGAAGTGAACTGTCTTATTAAACTCTCTGTACTCTTACAAAGTCCTCAATGCTTCGTTTTGCATGTATGGAGCCTCATTATGTTTCTGTGTGAGTGTGGGGATATTTTGAGCCTTGTTAGTGGTATAAACTAGCGATTTCTTTTTACTTAGTCAATACTAGCATTATACGCTAAACAGTTTTTAGAGATAAAACTCTTTACATTCGATTATCATGAAAACAAATCTCAGAGAACGATCGACTAGGTACCGATGTTTTATTAAACCAAAGGTTCATTGTTCTCCTTTAAACGTATCTCAGCTTTGTTGCGTGTCTGGAAATCGGCCGCTCTCCATTGAAATGAATGGTATCGTGTGTCTTGTGGTGTGAAGTCTGGTGTGTCTTGTTTGTCTCCAGCTCTCTGAGGATGATGAGGATGACAGAGACGCCGAGGAGCGTGTGAGTTTGACCAGACTCTACCAGTTCGCCCGCAGTGTCCGTGCGCTTCTGCACACCTATCATTATAACCAGATCTTCCTGTCGGAGTTCTGCGGCGCCTTCAGCAAATACACCGGCCGAGAGTTTCAGCCGCTGGCGTACGGATACAAGACTCTGGACGAGCTGCTGGCTGCCATACCTCAGGTCACACACACACGCCTATCTCTGCTTTGATTCAGCATGCTCACATACACACCTCAATGAACCCATTCTTTCTCATCTGTGTTTACAACAGGTCGTCTGGATCAAAGGTCACGGTCACAAAAAGATCATAGTCCTGAAGAACGATATGAGAGGTATCAGAACGCTTTATTTCCCTGCACATTAATGAACACATGATTCAGTGTAACACTATATCTTTATATCTTATTTGACATGGACACACAATTACATTGGACGAGCCATATGCATTTGTTTTTAGTGATTATAGCATACATGCTAATTTTCAACACCTGTCCACGGGAGGCTTTTGAAAATAAAATAAAATACAGAAACAAGGGAGAAAAAATAAATAAATAAAAAATAAAAACAGCAAGTATCAGAATCAGAAAGTATTAGTAATAGACTATACATGTGAGCACTGTTGTTTAGTTTTCAGCCATTGTGATTAACCAACAAAAACGGTGTTTGTACTCATGCCAGATGGATATAACGAAATAACATCCATTCAAACAAACAGAGCAACACATATAGACCATTTCACAAGATGTAAACAACACTGGTCCAGAAGCACTTCCTGTTTCAGTTTTTTAACACTACACAAAAGCTGGGATAAAATACAACCAACAGAACATATAAAACTGAATCAAAAAGTTAAACAAACGTCTTTAAGATTTTTCTTTACATGTGAAATAAAGAAAACAGTTACAAACTGAAACAGGAAGTGCTTCTGGACCAGTGTTGTTTACATCTTGTGAAATGGAATTTAGCATTTTAATCAACAGTAAAACATTTTTGTTAACCTTTTACCATATTTCTTGTGTCGAATCGTGGCATGAGGGTCTCACGACAGCCCGAGCTGTTTGTGAGGGTGTGTGTTAAGTCGAGCTGAATGTGTGTGTGTGTGTGTGTGTCTATAGCTCGAGGCAGTCCAGCGGCCACTTTAGACGGTCCTCGTCCCGATGAAGAGAGCCGGTCCACCGACAGCCCCGCCAGCGGTAACTTTTATTTATACAGCGCTTTTCACAATACACTCCATATTACAACTCACAGTGATGTGTTTATCAGAGGAAACTCTGAGTTATGCATTTTAAAACATGGACATTTACAAAATCACAGCCAGAATCATATTAAAGGGATAGTTGACTTTGAAATTAATTTTTGGTGTGTTTTATCTTAAGGGCATCCAAGACGTAGGTGTCTTTGTTTCCGCAGTAGTTTCAATTTTGATATTTTTAGGTCAAACCGTTCTTGTCTGTCAGCCATATAATGGAGGTCTATGGACACCACCTCAAAGAGCAGCACAGAGAAGTCCAAATTAAACATGATTTAATGACTCGTAAATGTAAGTACACATTGATGGCCTAAGACACGAAACGAGCGGTTTGAGTGAGAAAACCAACAGTGTTTATATCGTTTTTACCTCTTGTAACCACAGCCACGACCATTATACTCAGAGATTTCGGAAGTTTTACCTTTGGTAAAAACGATATAAATACTGTTCGTTTGAACATTCGTGAGGTGGTGACCATAGACCTCCATTATATGACTGAGACAACAACGGTTTGACCTAAAAATATCAAAATTGAAAATACTGTGGAAACAAAGACACCTAGATCCTGGATGCCCTTGAGGTCAAATAAAACATATCAAATTAATTTCAAAGTGAACTATCCCTTTAATTTAGTATTTTAATGCAGAAACGATGAGCTCATTGAAGTAATTTTAAACTTCTTTGTTAACAAATGAGAAACACATTCTTTGGGTTTGCCCGTTCTTTAATATTGTGAGACTGCGCTTTTTATCAGGACACAATTTTAAAGATTTATTTATGAATCCAGAATGTGTTTTGCTATTTTTAGCACAAGTACATTTAAAATAATTGTTTGTTTATTTTATTTTGTCTAAGTTTGTTTTAATTATGTTATTATACATATTATAATATGTTGTTAAATGTTTACTATGTATCTGCCGTGTAATAGAGTGCTGAAGTTATGACGTCACTCTGTAGGCCAAAACGCGGAAGTGAGTTAGCATTTTAGCATTACGGTTCCCTCTGTCTAAAGTCAATGGGATTTTTGAATGGGTTTTTGCTAAACCGCCAGAAATAAGGTCTGTGGTGAACAAAGCCTCTAAATATTTTCACGTTTTGATCTATGACATAAAACACACAGTTATAACCTGCTTGTGGTTTTTTAAACTTTATTGTGTCTGATAGTGTTTTTTAAAATCTTTATATAGGCTTCAAAATGTATAAATGTTGGATTAACTTGTAAAGATTATCTTGCTAGACAAAACATGTAAGGGTCACAACTCTTTGTTGAACACAGATCTTATTTTTTGCGATTTTTCCAAAAGTCTATGGGGAAAATGCAGAGCTTTTCTACCGAGGGAACCCATATGCGCCGCTAGCTTCCGAGTCGTCCTACAAAGTGACGTCATCACTTCGGCACTCTATAGCCGGAGCTGAAACTCAAATACTAATGGTTAATAAAACGTCACGAACGCTTCGCTAATCCGCGTTCGTTGATGATTCTGTCCGTCAGGTGAGCTGGAGCTGCTGTGTCTGGGTTCGGGATCTCCCGTGGATCTCCTGTGTGGCCCGGTCCCGTCGTGCCTGCCGTCTCCTCAGCTGCGACCCGACCCGGTTCATCCCGGAGATCTGATGCGCTTCGATCCGGTTCACGATCGGCAGCCTCGACCGGCCAACGGCCTCCTCGCCGCGCCAGAGAACGAGTCGAGCCGAGCGAACGCTTGCATTACGGACAGCCCCGGTCGACGGACGACACGAAACAAGGTCAAACTAGCGGCTAACTTCTCCTTCACGTCAGGCTAACGGCAAACGACATCACGGTGTCATCGTTAGCATCTCCGTGTCCTTCCCTGTACAGAAGCATCACGTGAGAGGAAACAGTCGTTCTGTGTGGGGAATTTCTGTTTTCCAAACTGTTATGAACTCAAAACCAGCTTTCGTTACTACAAACGTCTCGTGTGAGCCTGAAACGCGCCGATCGGAACTGTGAAATCATGACGCTTTCATCCAAACCTTCATTACGGTGAATCTGTGCCTTTAGTTTGAGACGTTATTTGTGTTGTTTGAAGCACGTGGGCTTCGTTGAATGAAATCGAAGGTTAGCCGTGTTCCTCTCTTTTAAACGCATCGCCCTCGTCACATGACTCACGGAAGCCGAATCGCTTAAGTTCATGTTGTTGAATTGAAATTCTTAAAGGAATGTTTAGTTTAATCCGCCTCGTTTCAGATTCACGGGCGTCCGGACGAGCTCCAGCGGGCACCCTCGTCATCGTATATATCTGCAGTTTGTCGTTTATTTTGGTCCAGAAGTTGCTTTGTAAGTTATATGCACATCGTGCATAAACCCTTGTTTAGTCAGTTAGCTGCAGTTTCCTGTTTTATGTGTTTTGGCATAATGGTGCTAATCAGACGATGTTCCTCTGGAAATGCCAAGGTTGTTTTGGTGAACCTTGAGTTTGCGTCTTCGCTCTCGGTGATTCGAGCCCGGCTCTTACAATGGTTTGTATCGGACGCCCTCGGTCACGGCGCGTTTGATCTGTGTCGCATAAAACCAACGAACCGAACGCTCAAGTGTTCTCGTGACCGCCGAACGCATCGCTGTGTTGATGTTCGACGGCACGTCTTCTTTTAAGGGTGTCTCTCTCGGGTCCTGGAGTGTTTCTGGAAGCTGAAACTCTGCGGTGGAGACGTACAGAAGAGAATATGCATGTTTGCATAACGTTCGCCTCTCGTGTCGTTGTTGGATAGATGGAGATTTGGTTTGTGTGTGTGTGTGTGTGTGCGCCTCTCCGTTCGTCAAGTGCAGTTTTAGTATTTGTGTTTATCCTCTCGGGTTTGCGACGTCAGCTGATCATCGTCCGGTTCGTGTGAAATGGAAGGTCTTGTATGATTTTAGTCTCCACCAGAAACTTGTTTATTTTTATTTTTATGTAATGACCAAATATTTTCTGCCATGTATAATAAATATCACAAGCATCATTTGTTGTCGAGGTTTCCTGCCTTCCTGACGCGTTTCTCACGTTCAGTCGTCCGTCCGACCGTATGACACGCTTTTGTATGAACTTTTGCTTCAAACAAGTGTTTTAGTATCATCGATGTTTTAACATTTTGAATTAGCATCTTTTTTTATATTCCGTTTGCATGTTTTGAATTTTTTTTTTGAACAACAGACAATCGAAAGAACACTTATGATCAGGTTATTTGTTGCAAGTTAGTTTATTTATTTCGTTGTGTCATTTTTAATGTCTATACATTTTATATCATGCCCACAAATTTGTTCCCCTCGTTTTAGTAAATAATTTGTTCTCTTGTTTTGATTTAACTGAAATGAGGGAATGAATTAATGAGTAAAATCGAGCACACAATATAAAGTCCCCCTGTGGTGTAAATCCAGCTTTTAATGTTATGTGTGTATGTTTTTAATACGCTTTAAGTTGATAAGTGGACAGCATTGCTGAGCATTTCCTCCTTAAAACTGCAGTGAACCAAAGACGGTCTCAAAAACACGCTCACACGTCACAAACCACCTTGTAACCAATCAGATCAACGTATGATCGTCAACCAGTGGATCTCTTGAGTGAGTGAGTGAGTGAAGTTGGGGCTCATTTGCATATTCATAGAACCGTGCATACTAAATGAAGCAAGGGTGTCGAGTTACATTCAAGATATTTTACGGCATGAATATTTTTTTTTCAGTGAACAAATGCTTAAATGTTTTATTGGTGATCAAACATTATATGAAGAATCTGTCGCTCATAAGCAGTGTTGGAGGGTAAAGCAAGTTATGTAATCGGATTACTTTTTAAAGTAGCGAGTAAAGGAACTTTTCTTGAATGTATTAAGCAATGTCTGACCTTCAATGATCCAGCTGAACCCAAGGGGGTAATCCATCGACCGGGAGCTGACATCTTGTAGCAGAACTTCACTTGCGTTAGCATTCCCATTGACTCCCATTCATTTTGGCGTCACTTTGACAGCGAATAACTTTATATCCGAGTCGTTTGAAGACCCCATTTGTCCTTTATTTATTTCTAAAGAAACACGACAATGTATAAATAGGTTCATTACCTTGTAGCTTACATTATGGCCCCGTAAAAGCAGTTTTAGTGAAAGTAGGCTAACGATTGCGTCATACTCGCGTGACTCTCTGTCGCACAGGAGAGAGATTACCGTATGGACAGGAGGAGAAGCGCGCGCGCAATCGGGGAAACGTGGAGGCAAAATGACAAAATAATTAACCAGAATACCTAGCAGAATTGTCTCCTTCTCCTCGCTCATGGACAGCTCATAATCACACTCTCCGCCTCTGCATGTTTCGGAAGGGGATGATTCAGATTTCTCATACCACAGCACTAGAAGACAGACGGGTCACTCACGTCACCTCTACGTAGTCAAGCTCTATTTGAGTCTGCGCGTCAGGGACGGAAGTGCAAAAAAATCGCCAAAAACGGGCTTCAATCGTCTCAATGGAGAACCATACTAGGCGAAAATATCTTTAGTCAAGCGGCGGTTCAGCTGAAGGGTTAGTTTGAGTGGCGCCCTCTACTGTACAAGAGTGAGCTTGCATTACCTTCAGCCTGAGGTTTTTTCATTTCACTTTTGGTCTGAAAGGGCATTAACATTTGCTTAAAGTTTTTTCGCTATTCTCGTTAAAAACAAAGCAAAATAAGTAAACTCATACATTACTTTCCATTAAAAGGTAACTTGTAACGCTTTTAGGTAGTATTGCAATATTGTGACACTTTTTTTTTTTTTAACTTCCCCAACACTGTTCACACACATCTATTGATTGATTTTTTTTGTGTTTTTTTTTGGCTGAATTACCTTATTTATTTTCTATTCCGTGGCGGAAACAAGCTTGCATTAAATGCGTGACATCCAGCGAGTGAAAACAAACAAAAAACTGCAAATCAAACACTAGTAGATGATGCATCTGTGCTGTGAATGAAGGAGCGACACACACTGCTGAAAGAAACTTTATTTGCAGGACATTCACAAGTGCCACTGATATCCTGCTTTACTCAGATTCAGTTTCTGTTTAATTCAGATTATCTGACCTGCTTAAATATCACCACATTTCAACATTTGTGCACACATCTGACGAGGTGGTGTGTTGATCCGGTTCTGTGTGCAAGAAAACGACAGAAATCCCCCCAAACCTTTAGGGAAGTACTGTTTGTGGAGAACTAGTCCATGGGATACTGACATTGAGTGATTGTTTATTTACAGGGGGGCGTATGTCTAAGAAGAAATAAAAACCCTGTGATACTGTGGTGAGATTCTGTTGTGCTTGTGACCGATTATTCGTAACTCGTAATGTTTGTTCACACCAACAACAATAACTATAACGATGAAGACGGTTCTAAATATAAATAATATGGGGGTTATTTATATTAATATTAATATAATTGCTGTGGGGTGATGCAGAGAAACCACATCCACAGCTAAAACTAGTAGCCTAACTAACATCGTCTCTATTAAAGACAAGTAACAGTAGTTTTTAGTTAAAGTAATCAAATTTAAATTGAAATCCTTTCAAGTTTCAAAAGTTATTCAGTCAAAGGCAATGAGTTTTTATTTTATTTTCTTTGTTTAACATGAAAACACAGACGGCACCGGGAATATTAGGTTCCTGTCACTTTAAGAGCGAAGCCATGGATCTAATACAGGTGACGCTCGAAAAATGTGAATACAGTGCAAAAGTTCGTTTATTTCAGTAATTCAACTTAAAAAGTGAAACTAATATATTATATAGACTCATTACATGCAAAGTGAGATATTTCAAACCTTTATTGTTATAATGTGATGATTATGGATTTCAGCTTATGAAAACAACAAATTCAAAATTAGAATATTGTGAAAAGGTTTATCTTAGCTGTAAGCCATAATCATCAAAATTATAACAAATAAAGGTTTGAAATATCTAACTTTGCATATAATGAGTCTGTATAATATATCAGTTTCACCTTTTCAGTTGAATTCCTGAAATAAATGAACTTTTGCATGATATTAGGGATGGGCAACGATTAATCGCATCCAAAATAAAAGTTTGTGTTTACATAATATATGTGTGTGTAGTGTGTATAATTAATTTGTATATATAAATACCCACACATGCATGTATAGCCTATATTTAATAAATATGTGCATGTATATATTTTATATATATTTATTTACAATTAATATTATATATAAATATATATATATATATATATATATATATTTGATATATTAATAACAAATTTTTCTTAAATATATACATACATGCATGTGTGGGTATTAATATATACAAATTAATTATACACACTACACACACACATATTATGTAAACACAAACTTTAATTTTGGATGCGATTAATCGTTGCCCATCCCTACACGATATTATAATTTTTCGAGTGTCACCTGTATACTGATACTCATACTCATGTGTTTGCTAGCGTACTCGCATATTTTGACACCATTTGTGTGTATTTGTCCGTTCAAGCACAAGGGGACGTGAAACGCTTTCTGAGACGCGGCTTTCTGCGCGCACTAAACGTCCAGCGTAACGGTTTGAGTTCCTTTGCGCTTGAATATTTTAACTGTCGAAGCTTAAAAGTTCACGACGATGCGGCGCTGGCTCGTCGAGTGTCCCGAGAATCGTTAACGTTCACAACGTTGCATTGTTGGAACTCGTAACAAATGTTACGGATTGAGTTTCATCTGGTTTTCACTCTCATTTGGCGCTTGGCAAGTGTTGATTTCCGTTCAAAAACATATAGTTATGATTATAGTTATGGCTCTTGGTGTGAACGGACCTTTATGGTTTCCACCCACGTCTGCTCTTCTGGTCCTCCGGACTGCAACGAAGCGCGAGTTTTACATGCTGCAGAATCTCAGTCTTTTACTGCTCCAGTGAACAAATCCAAACGCATTAACATATTCATCAAATGGACTTAACCGGGTTATGACGGAGCGTGAGGGGGCGGTCACATGACTGTGCACTGAGTGGCTCCGCAGCAGTCTTTGATGAGGGCCGCGCTGCTCCGGCTCAGGGACGGCTTGTTCGCGGGAGCTTCAGATGTTCGTGGTTTCGGAGCTCCTGTGGTGGACAGAAGAGCCAATCAGAGATGAACAGAGACGGGTCAGGGGTCACAGGAGTCTTTTCTGTGTTGCTGCGTTCACGCCATGTCAGAGATTTGCGTTCACATCCTCATTAAAGGATTAGTTCACTTTAAAAAAACTTTTGCTGATAATTTACTCACCCCCATGTCATCCAAGATGTCCATGTCTTTCTTTCTTCAGTCGAAAAGAAATTAAGGTTTTTGATGAAAACATTCCAGGATTTTCTCCATATAATGGACTTCAATGGGGTCCAAACGGAGAGTTTCAGTGCAAACTGTTCAAAGGGCTTTAAATGATTCCGGACAATGAATAAGGGTCTTATGCAAATCTTTTTCCGAGTCAACTCGTTCATTTCGTTCTTTGAATCAACCAAATGACTCGGAAAAAGATTCATTCATTTTGATGAACGACTTCGAACAGGAGAGTCACGAACGCGCGTCACAGAACAGAGCAAGGCGAGCATTTGAGCTTATAAAACTTAAACTTTGTTATTTATTTATTAAATGAGCGATCGTTTCGCTTGATAAGACCCTTATTCATCGTCTAGAATCGTTTAAAGCCCTTTGAACAGTTTGCACTGAAACTCTCCGTTTGGACCCCATTGAAGTCCATTATATGGAGAAAATCCTGTAATGTTTTCATCAAAAACCTTCATTTCTTTTCGACTGAAGAAAGAAAGACATGGACATCTTGGATGACATGGGGGTGAGTAAACTACCAGCAAAAGTTTGTTTTAAAGTGAACTTCTCCTTTAATGGTAACACTACAATAAGGTCCATTAGTTAATATATGAACTAACAATGAGCAATACATTTGTTATTGTATTTGTTAATATTAGTTAATAAAAATACAGCCGTTCATGTTAGTCCACAGTGCGTTAACTAATGTCAACAATAAAGTATTAGTGAATGTTAAAATTAACATTAACAAAGATTAACTAGAAAAAAAAGTTTGATGACACAAACTTTAAGTTGGCTTGAGAAAGCCGGACCAGAGCGTTTGAAGAATCTTGAAGTTTGAATGAAGTTTTAAAGATGGAATTAGAAAGAAAGAAAGAAAGAAAGAAAGATGGATAGATAGATAGATAGATAGATAGATAGATAGATAGATAGATAGATAGATAGATAGATAGATAGATAGATAGATAGATAGATAGATGTTTTTGGCAAGAAGCTAACATGATTAGCATGTAGCTAGCTTGATGTTAATATGATTAGCATGTATTTAAGATGATTAGCATGTTGTTAGCGTGATTAGCATGTTGCTAGCATCATAATAGCATGTTGCACTAAAAACACTAGTGTGACGACTTTCATGATGACTTTAAGAAAGGTCTCAGATTTCTCATAGTGAAATAAACATTTATGTGTCCCGTCTCATGAGCGAACTCTTACTCTGTATCCCGCTGAGCTTCTGTCGGAGGAACTCGGCCATCTCTTTATCCTCCTCCTGCTCCCTGTTACACACACACACACACACACGAAACTCAGTCTGAAGAACTACGTGTGACCATGTGTCTCCAATAAAAGCTGTGATGTATCACACCTCACAATAAGGTTCATTAGTTAACATTAGGTGATGCATTAACTAACATAAACTAACAATACATTTGTTACAGTATTGATTAATCTGTGTTAATGTTAGTTAATAAAAATCCAGATGTTCATTGTTTGTTCATGTTAGTTCACGGTGCATTAACTAATGTTAACAAATACAATCTTTGAATTTAATAATGTATTAGTAAATGTTGAAATTAATATTAACTAAGGTTTATAAATGCTGACGGAAGTTTTGTTCATTCTTAGATCATGTAACTAATAAACCTTATTGTAAAGTGTTATTGTATTTAATCTTATTAACCCTAAAACCGTACTCTGGACAAATGTGGGCAAAATAGTTTTGATTTAATTTGATCTGAGCGGTACAAGACTTGGCTACTTTTCCTAAGTTTGCCTCCTGAACACAATTTTTTTTTTTTTTGACTCATTTCTACAATGTTAAGTGGGTGAAAAAAAACTCCTTAATCTTGTATTTGGGTCAAAAATGGGCACCCATAGAAATGAATTAGAAAAACTGTATTCTAAAATAAGCCAAAATAAGACACCAGGTGACAGCAAAGTCACTTCATCTTTAGGTTTTAGCTCTAAGAATGATATTTTAATGTGGTTAAACATTTTTGAAAAATAAAACATAAAATAAGCATAATTTACATAGAAAATATGGTACTTCTTGAAGTAAATAAATTCGAAAATACCCCCAAAATAAAAAAAAAACACCACAAATGGATAGAAAAAACATTATCGAAGACGGTGATATAACATTTATAATAAATAAAAATTAGGATCGCACCTGAGTCCTCTGTGCCCACATTTGTCCTCAATTACAGGATTAAGGGCTATAAAGTGAATACGGTTTGAGGGCTACATATTGTAGTATTGTAGATTAGTGCACACTTAGAAAGAAAAGATAAGAAACAAACAAACGTCAATATACTGATTTAAACTATTTCACATCATTTTGAAGAAATAACTCAAGATCCAGTTCTCAAAGTTAATGTTAAAGATGGCTTTCATGTTTAACACCGTTATATCAGTTATTTTCTACCGATCAGATGATATTAAAAGAAAATGAATTGAAACTGAATCTGTGAAGTGTAGTCACAGCTGTCCTGACCTCCGCCGCTCGACCTCTGCGTCCTCCACCAGGAAGTCTCTCTTCTGCACCAGCTGATGGATCTCCACCAGTAACGTCTCCTCTCTCCAGCGCTGCTGCTTCGTCTTCTCTGCGTCTGTGTGTTCAGGTGAGTGTGTGTTACATGAGAGCTTATGGACCGCTCACACACATTACATCTGAAATGTCATCCAGCAGGTTTGAGTCTCAATAGTAGATAAAAATTCTACTTGAGCAATAATTCTACTAGAAATAATTCTATCTGAGGCGCGGGGCTCATTTGCATATTCATAGAACCACGTATACTAAATGAGGCACGGGTGTCGAGTTACATTCAAGATATTTTAAGGCATGAAGATTTTTTTTATGGAAAAAACTTTTAAATATGTCATTTTGGGGATCAAAGATGAGTTTTAAGGGATAAAATTG